TTTTTTGGCTCTCCAAAATAACAATTTGGGTTTTGGCGCCATTCTTTCGCGTCGATACCACCCATCTTTCCTTTTCCTTCCCCCTTTCCCCCCAGAAGTTACACATCCCTTTCAAAGGCCGGAATTTTGCTTTAATCTTTGGGCAAAAAGAAAAGGAAGGTAAAAGCCAAGGAAAATTCCCCCCCCCCCCCCCCCCCAAAAAAAACCCCCCTACTAGAATCTATATACTAATGTAATCAAGATCCCCGAGATGGCTTCCACGTCAGCTCTCGTTCTGCCTCCCGCCAAACACCTCGTCACGTTTATCGGTGCCCCTACCACGAACAAAGCTGTTGTGGCAGAGAAGAAGCAGTCCCTTTAGAAGAAAGGCGGCTTCGTTATACAGAACCGTGGTAGTCCAAAGCCTAAAGTCTACAGCAACAAAGGCTGAGAATTGAGATTGAAATCAGGGTAAGATCGAATGGTTCTAAGAGATTGAGCAGGTAAGGTTATACTCCACGGCCAAATACCAATGATCTTGAACGTCCCCAGCTCATAATTACATTGTCGATCACATTGGGTCTTCCTTCTCGACAACTGCATCACCTTGCCTTCAAACCCATTTGCCTTTTGACCTATAGACATGTAGACGAAGCTTTCGTCAGCGAGATGGCGTGCTTCTCCATTCTACGACTGTCGTCGCCCTGATTTCCCTTTCGTCTTTGCCTGCTTGAACAGTAATGCATTGTTTCTCGCTGTCTGTATCGTCGTCGTTGGCCTTCCAACAGGAGTTCCGTATGTGTCGTGGATATGTGGTGTCAAACCCGTTTTTTGGCTGAAGCTCTATACCATCATAACTCTTAACATAGCCATGCGATCGTTGTCGTAGGTGCGATGATGGGTCTGGTGTAAAAGCATTTGTTGATCGAGCGGTATCAAAGTAAGGAATGAAGCGGCCCTATAGTAGAAAATATTAGTTACGGTTGTATGCATAAGTACCTAAATTTCATCTAGAGCTCACCAAGATCCATTTGATCGTCGGTCCGCACACAGCAATTACACCGAGATTCGCTTCAATGTTCGACAATGCATTTCTAACGTTATGCGGGTCCTCGCCGGTGGCGTTGGGTAGGCTGAAGAAGACAACGAAGCGATGTAAACGATAGCAGCCAATGGCTGTAACTGCGAGTGGAAGCGACAGGAATGCAATAACTCCAACTTTGTGCCTCAGAGACATCTGAAGATCGTATAGAATCCACGCCGGAATCAACGCGACAAGAACATCGGTACCAATTGTTACACCGATTACACCAAAGATGTATTGTGCGTCATTGGAACAGTGACCAGGGACTTTGGGGTGCCAATATTTGTGGATCGGCTGACACCTGAAGATGTGTCCAAGGGTGGCAGCGAAAACAAAACAAATGTTTACGATGATTAGCGACCACAAGCTTGCGATGATTAGCCGGTTCGTAGAGCGCAACTTCAATAGCGTGATCAGAAACGAGATCTTGACAAGGCCTAGGATCTGGTTGTATATTGCGTTGTTGATGTAACGCCACTGGCAAAATGTAAATCAGTCCAGCGCAAGCATGCTTGGGCATTCCAGGTGTAGGAGGACTTACGAGTAGCACTTGTTCCTGGCTTATAGCACCCTGTGGAATATCTGCCGCGTGATAGCCAGCGTAAGAGACTAAGACCACTAGAAGCCTGTCAATAGGAAAAACTACTTGCTTGGATCTACACTCACGTTTCCAGACTGTCGCAGTGAGTGCTATCAAGAAGAGCTCAGCAATGATAAGGAGTATGTCTTCTGTAGTAAGCTATATCAGCAAGTATCTTGCATGAACAGAGCGCGGCTGTGCCATACCAATAGCTAATTTGTGTTCTTTTATCTTCCTCCATACCCTAATTGCCACAATGGTGGCCGACAGAACGAAAGGAAAGACAATGAGGAAGATGTTCATAGGCTGAAGACCAGTTCCCGTCATGGTACTTGAAATATTAAAAGCAAATCATCCAAATTATGCTAAGAGATATATTCGCTCCGTCTCCAGAGATATACAAGGTGTACTTACACTTGCAATCGAGTTGACTAATCTTCAGCTTCTCCTGTTGCTAGGCAATACCAGTCTGTTGGAGTTCGCGACGACGCCGCAATCCTTCAAAGGCTGCGCACTTCCGTATGAATCACCAGATGTAATTACAATCCTACTAGGTGGCGACCCTTTGTTGATCGAATGAGCTGTCTTGGTATTGTTCCGGATGCCCCGAGCCGCAGACGGCTCGGAGAATCCATCCTCAACCCTTGCGTTCGTTCATCTGATCAACACTGCCAGCAGGACGAATAACTTATGCAGGCATAGATCGCACAGACTTTGGCGTCAACAAGGGACTTCTCATTGTTCGTAACGTTAGAGTGGGACTTTCATATGCCCATTTTCCCAGGACTTTCAAGGTTGTGCGACGGATCTCGAGACGGAAGTTGTTGACGGAGCTTGTTTCAAGCATGGTTTTTTCAGCAGGTGTTGTTGATGATCTCTCACTAATTGGAAGGGCCAAGTAGGATTCTGTATGTAGGATGTGACGAGGCTTGAGCTGGTTGATTCGTGCAGTGGAGCAGAGAGGGTCCACTACCAAGCTATTGGCGTTCGCGGCTTGGAAGTGCGGGCGGCTCGTGGGCCGAGCCTGAACCGTGCCGCACGCTACCTAGGTAGGCTCTGTCTTCAGTCGCCTACTCTCAACATCAAGCTACGACTGACTATGTAATACCTTTCTCGCTCCATATAATCTCGATGTGAGATAACGATAGTAAGAAATTTGTTTCTCAAGTAGTCCTTGGCAAATCGATGTTTTGGATCTGAGTGGCGGGAAGAGAAACTTAAACGAGGACTGTGCCGCAATCCTACAGCTGAACAAGTCTGATACTCTTCCATCCTTCAAACGCCAAGCTACTAATGCTTCTGAACAGATGAACTTGCCCCATTGGTCTACATGTCCGACTCGTAAATTTGGCATAACTAGCATCCTACAGGAACATGCAGAGATTGAGCTGCTTCCTGCTGGTACAGGGTTTAGAAAGTTTCAATTGGCTTACAACTGCCGCGAATCCGCAGTATCTTTGCATTTCCTGGCGTGGATAGAACAAAACTGAGCCACGATAGATTTTGAAGGCAAGGAGATGATCTGCTCACGGATCCATCAGGCCCGGCTGCTGTATGCAGTCCCTTGCGTAAGACCATCTACATCCCTTCGCTACTAATCCCCCGCTCGACACTCAATGGCTAATCGCAGTCCGTGGCAACATCTAGAACGCTTGCACATGAATCATGCACATGAAGCGTGTGAGAGATCCTCAAAAGTATGCTTACCGGACGGCTAAAGGGATGAGATAAAAAGACGAAGCTCCCGTTGGTGCTTTTTATCTGCCTCGTCTTCTTCTCCACGTCTTGGCCTCACTATGGCACCCATGCAGCGGCTAGCCACGTGCTTCTTCTTGATTATTTCTCCGGGGGCTGTCCTTGGCCAATCCTCCTCAATCCCTGATGTCGAACCTGCAGCTGCTTTCGTCCCAGCCACTCCAGTAGCAGGCGCACCTCTTCAAGAAGCAGAGACCCTACAGTTGACGGATGCCGTCATTGAGCGGCTCGTAACCGAGCAGGGTGTTTCCGAGTATGCGGAATACTTCGCGTTCGACGACAGCACCGCTGCTAGTGATGCGCGTGTACGACGCGCAGCTTCAGCATCTTGCAAGACGTTTCCTGGAGACTTGGCGTGGCCCAAGGAAATTGTCTGGGACATTTTCAACGTCCTTTTAGGCGGGGCACTCATCCCAACTAAGCCTATTGCTGCCTCATGCTACGATTCGAAATGGGGAAAGAAAGACGGTGCAAGGTGTACGGAAGTTGCCAACAAATTCACGGATCCGCTATTCCATCATGCAGATCCTACATCAAGTGAGTGATTCCCTTCTATAAAGCTTAAATAAGCCGTCTAGTAACACTGTCTGTCTAGATATGTGGCCCATCTTTCAGGGTAGGACATGTATGCCTAAGAATGACACTGACGGCAAATCGTGCACACTGGGCGGATATCCTGAGTACGCAATCAAAGTCACCAACGTGGCGCAGATTCAGCTTGCCATCAATTTCGCAAGAGCGACCAACCTTCGTCTAGTCATCAAGAACACTGGTCATTGCTATCTGGGAAAGTCCACTGGTGCCGGAGCATTGAGTTTATGGATGCACAACATGGACCAAATCGACTATCTCCCCAACTACAAAGGTCCGGGCTATTCTGGACCGGCTTTCAAGGTTGCTGCTGGAGTTACCGTTAGGCAAATCTATGAAGCTGCAGACAAATACGATGTTACTGTTCTCGGTGCCGTTTCATGGGTAAGTAATGCTGAGGATATCATGCCTGATCAAGATGACTGACATACACCAGAGCGTTGGGTGGGCTGGTGGTATGATCACTGGTGGTGGGCAAAATCCTCTTGCCGGTGTTTACGGGATGTCAGCCGACCATGTTGTCGCATTTCAGGTTGTAACAGCTAATGGTCGCTTCATCACTGTATCCGAAGCTTCGAACCCTGACTTGTTCTGGGCGCTTCGAGGTGGCGGTGGCGGTACTTTCGCCGTCGTCGTATCGGTCATCGTTCGCGTGCACCCCAAGATAAACGTCGTTACTGCAGGCTGGTATCTCGATGCTTCGAACAATAGCCTTGAAGACTTCTGGAAGGGTACTAAGAAGTTCTATGAGGTTTTCCTTGACTGGGCAGAGTCAGGCATATATAGCTTCTTCATTATGGGCAACCAGCCTAAGCCATTCCTCAGCATGGCGTACCTTTTCGCAGCAAACCATACTGCGGAATCATATGACAAGGTCGTAAAGCCATTCTTCGACTACCTGGACACGAACAACATCACGCTTACGAAACCTCATACAAGCGTGGCACACAACAACTTCTACTCCGCTTACCAGGCAGCTTGGGGCTCTAACAGCTTCCCTATCGGTCTGGATAACTCGCTTCCGGCTAATCGCATCGTCCCTCGACGCAACTTCCAGGAAAAGTTCAATGAGACTTATGCACTGATCAAGGAACATGTCTCTGCTGGCAAACATCTCCTTGGCTACCACAAGACTCCTGTTAAGTACGCAAATACCAACAACGCCATTAGCCCAGCATGGCGCGAATGCGGCATGTTCATGGTTACCTCATCGAACAAGTCGATGGATCACTCCACACCTGAGGCACTCAAACTCGCGAACAAAGATCTACAGGAAAACATCCTCCAGCCCTGGCGCGATATCTCACCAGTTTCCGAGGGTGGTGGCACATATCTCAACGAAGCCAGCGTCGAAGAGCCCGACTGGCAAGAGTCGTTCTATGGAGGTTACTACCCGAAGTTGAGTCAGATAAAGAGGAAATGGGACCCTACTGATGTTTTCTACGCGACCACTGCTGTTGGAAGTGAGCGATGGGTAGTTAAAGATGGAGAGCAGGGTGTTCAAACCCAAAATGGAAGGCTGTGCAGGGTTTGAGTCGGTGAGACTTACCACTGATGATGCTTTGAAGTTATAGATAGTTTAACCATAGCATGAGAGCCAATCAGTATAAAAATGTTTGTCGACTGTTCAATTCTTTGTCGGGTGATTACAACATGCGAGTGCCCGTGGTTGTGACGCTTAAACCCAAACAAACAGCAATGGAGGTGTATGCGCACTAGGGAACTCACCACTCACCGGCACTACTCACAATCCGGCTATTAATTCGCGTCAAGGACCCGAAAGTCTTGCTACGACAGTCTCACATCTCGGTGTTGGGTAGGAATTTTGCGAACATGCAGAGTCGCGACACACCACCACATTCGGGTCCCGACACCCCGGAAACACAAGCGTTGAGATACTCGCCTACCACTGCCACAGACAGTCTCGCAATCCCCACTAGCTTACCATCTGTATCACTGACCCCAACACCTAAGACATCGGGATACCAGGCATCCAAGAATCCTACACAAGATGAAGTAGAGGCCGATTTGTTACTCAAACGTCATCAGCAAGATCTACTGGTTCTTACAAGCTTGAACGACAACTCGACACTGCATTGGCGCCCGTCGTGGTTCAAACAAGTTCCCTTCAACGACTCGTTCTGGACACTTCACAATCCGCCAGATGTAGTGACCGAGAAGCTTCCGAGTAGTGTACCGCAAAGCAAAGATTACTACACTCGACGCATGAGGCAACAAGGTGATCGACCACCAATCTACATCGAAACCTGGGACCATTGGGATCGATATTGCGAGTTGTATGGAGTGCCACTAGACTTCTTGTCAGAAGATCAGGTTGGCCTCATGCGCCTGGGACTACCGCGTACTGAAAAGGGAGCGCTTTGTGGTAATATGATCGCGATCAGGCGGTACGAAAGCACAACACTGACAGAGTGTAGCTCCACCGTCATATCCACTTTATCCAGAACCACAACCTAGAGGTTGTGGGCACTACATCCTTGACCCTTCAACGCACACAACCCATCTACCGTCCAAGTTCCGTTCTATCAATCATGACACGGAATTTCCAGAGGATGTCCAAGTTGTCGTTGTGCATTCTAATGGTGCGCTAACAATAGAGCGCAAAGATGAGATGCCCAAGCATCATATCAAGTGGACGCTTTCCGACGGCAAAACGGAGAATGGGGGTGATTCGGGGTATGACGCTGTTAGTAATTCCCTAAATCAGCAGGGTCCGGCGAGGCGATGGACGTATGTTCCATGGACTAGCGAGCAAGACGAGAGCTGCAAGTGTCTGAGTTTAGTGGTAAAGCTGAAAGTCAACAACAAGAGGAAATATGAGACTACTAGAGAGGATGAAACTACAGGGATAGCGCATAAGACAGAGGACAAGAAGCCAGACAAGAAAAAGAATGTGAAAAGAATGCTCAGGGAGCTGCAGTGAACGATAAAAGCACACTGGGTTGGATGAGCATTATATCAGAGCTTTCAACGTCGGTTTGTTTATTCGTTGCCTATACAATAACTTCTTAGATAGATTTTCAGGTCGCATCGACAGATCTACTACATGTAGCCATCTCTGAGCCTCACTGCACAGTGGTTGGATCGTCCTTTGACACCAATATGCCTCTATCGTACAACCCTGTGATGATACCCACGCCTCTTCCCACATCCCGAGCAAAAGTACTACTGCTGCAGAACTCCTGTCCGTTGTTCTTATACAATGTTTTCAGTCCTCCAGTTTCGCTCCACTCAGCCACAAAGCTAGCCGCCGTACATTCGCAAGCCTGCTTCTCATCTTCTGATCCCTGCATATTGCACTTTGCCCTAGCTTTGCTTACTTTCATAAGTCCTGGCGCAAAGGGATGGCCGGCCATAAGAAGCTTGCCAGAAGCGTCGACAGAAAGGTTGTCGACGCTCGATGGAGCGCGAATGAACTTTCGGAAATGTAACTTGATCGTGTCAGGACTGAAAGTGTAGAAGTTCACTCCCATTTTCGCTGATGAGGCAACAGCTACGGTCGTCGAGTTGAGCATAGCAATACCGTTAGCGAAAGGTACACGGACCAACGTCTTTGTGTGCGAGGGGTTGTGGATGTCGGTATATACGACACTACCCCCAGGAATTCCAGCAAACGTCTCGACCTGCGAAATGAGCGGAGAGATGAGGGACCCGATGTAGTGGTCGTTGGTTACTAGTAGTTTTCCGTCTCCCAAAGAATGGATGGAGTTGGGTGTATAGATCAGTGGATGCTTCAATGTTTGCACATATTTCGCTACTGCGTCTTGGACAGAGACCTGAAATACTTCGATGATGTTTCCGGAATTCCGGGAATGGTTAATGACGTAAAGTGTTGATGTCGCGGCGTCGAACTCGATGCCCAAGGGTTGGAAGTCTGCTACATTATTGTAATCAGTCAGAACCAGCGGCTTGAGAACTTCAGATTCAGGAGTGTTTGGCGATGAATAATCGTAGATCCAGATATGTGGGTTGTCTTCATCGCCTCGTTTGCTTAGAGCTGGAGCGAATGTGCCCTGTAGATGTTAGGTTGTGGAATACAAACATAACTTCGCTTCTGTGAGCAAATTTTATTGGAAGCTTCGCACCATCACGGTATTCCACTGATCTCTTCCAGGGTTGCAACTCAGGAACGCAATGCCCATGCCCTCTTCGAAGAGCACATCCTCACAGTTGCGGAGCTGATCGCGGAACTTGACCTCATGGCTCTTGAAGTTGTTGACGTCCTCGAATTTCCCAGGTCTGTTTCCAAATATCGTCGACAACGCAAGATAGCGGTCGTATACGTATGGCGCGAGGATAGCAAGCGCTATAAGCAACTGTGTTACGCGTCAGTCATCAGCTGTTGACTGCCCCAGGGCTACGCAGGTCTGAGTTCGAGTATTCACATACGATCGATCGACTCGCCATGTTCGTGGTAGCGTGTCTTTGCAGGGAGAATATGGATGATGTATCACAAATAGTGGCACGGTCGAAGATGAAGTTCACTGTGCTGACGGACCGCCTAAACCCCACCAAAAGAGGGGACAATCATCATCGTTGCATGAGACTCGTCAGCGTGTCTCTATATACGGCCTTAGTAGCAAGCGAATCGGTGCTTCCCGTTGGTTTATCGGGCCGCTGGCAACATGGGTGCTGGTTGTTCGACGTCGCGACCACAAGGATGCGGATGCGGATGCGGAGCGAGAGTGGTGTCCGTGCCAGCGAAAGTCTTTTCCTGTGGCAGTACCTGCCATCTACATGAACCACCCCAGTTTGTCCATCTTCAACACACCCAACAGATCACATCCGTACGCCGCGCTAAGATAGCCAAAGACGACGATTAGTTCTCGAGTTCCAAAACTATCGGTCTGGGTGTACACTTGGCGTCTTCAGTCTGACCGTCTAAGTAATGTTCCTACTGATGTCGTAGGTCAACGGTCTCAGCTGCAACTACAACCCGTATACTTGATGTACAAACCAATCCTATTGCATTGATTTGAGACCTATACGGAGAACCATTAACCTGAACTAGGCTTTTGGTTATGACAGGTATTGAGGTACAATGCTAAATCTTTCCCAGTCTTTGTTTTTCCAAGTCCAGCTCCGTCAACTTTTACCCTGAACAAGATGCTGATCCCGCTTTCCCTTCTCATGTCTTCACCATACTTGCAGACTCATTTCTAGCTCTTGTGAGTCAAATCCTATCGAATTTGGGATTGCCAATCTCGTAAAGTGTCCGGTGTTAAGGTGGCGCACATACTCGGATGAATAGATCTGAAACCTACGCAGACCCCAGGTATGGAGTGTAGAATCGAGCTTGGGGTGCATCTCCTTAATAGTCAAACCGTTGTCTATCGGAGGCAAAGTCTGGAATTTTCCAGCTAATATTGATGCTCTCGTGAAACTGGATACTTAATGTGGCCAGTGTGGTAGTTGCGAAGATGATACTTCTCCACCTTTACAGGCATCGATATTAGCATATTGAGTTCTTTGATGCAAACAGATTTTTCTATTTGCTACGTAAGATATCTGTTCCATGGCGCTCGAACCTTTTTTGGTCCCGATCGAGAACACATCTACATCGCTTCTCATGATACATTTTCTGATCTGTCTATTTTACACTGTGTGCTATCAAGGTTCGCATATACAAACAAACTTGTCAGAGTCACATACCGGCGTCTGACGCGCCACACTTTAAACCATGTGGGAATAGCCGTGGCCAAGATGTAAAACGTTCCCAAATTACGTCACTGTATGATGGAGTTCTGAAGTACACATCTGACAGCTAACTTCTTTTTTGAACCGCCAAGTTATACATGTGCCAAGCGTCTGAGAGAGCAGTGATTGCCTAGAGTCTACCTCTCGAGATATGTGCTTATCGTAAAGCCCAAATATCACGCTAACACATCACTCCTGTCAAAACTTTTAGAGATCGCTACAAGTTTCGGTCCGAGCGAAAAGTGCACCCAAGTGTAGCTTCCTATATACAAAACGCTTTGCTGGCGGTACTGTACCCCAGTTTAGCTTAGTAGAGCCTCCTTTCTGACAATTCCATGTAGTAATACTAGCAATTCTTGGAGGCTCTTCCAAGTTGAAGCATCATTCTCATCTCTATAAGCCCAGACCCTGCCCTTACAATCCTCTATCCCGCCCATAGCCTGTGGATGCCGGGAGATCAGCATATGCCAGGCTTGTTATGAACGAGGTAATTTAGGCTCAATGGCATGAACATGGGGTCATCTGAGAGTGCAGCCTGTCGATGTGAATTCCTGGATTTTGGCAAGATCTCTAATAACGACTGCGATGGCCACGCATCTAGTAGACCGGAAAGTCAAGTCTAGATGCGCATTGGCCGAGATGTCTTCGTGTTGATGAACGGCACGTTGATGGATGCACACGCCTTGATGGTGTGGAGAGCCGGAACGTGAGCACTAATGCTGCAGTTGGGCAGTCACCGTTGACCTTTGTGGAAGATGGAGCTTCCAAAGTAGCTTCATGCGGAGAGAATCTCCGCATCAGGTAGGTAGAAAGGGGCGCATACAGATTGTTTTCGATAGCATATACGCGCGCCGCGGATGGCCAACATCGCCATTAGTGTTGGTATGCTGACAAGATAGTATTGAGCAATTTTGGCAACACCACAAGACGCGACAGCAGGAAGATGTTGAGAGAGAAGACGGCGCACGTCCTTTTCTTGATATCCACAGCTGCCTTTCAAGTCACAGAACAGGAAGTATGTCTGGCTTGACGTGTTGGCTGGAGCTGAGTTGGTCGAGCAGAATATAAGTCACGCGCGCGCCAACTTTCGCGATGAGACCGTCGAAGAGGTGTGTAATTCAATGTGAGCGTCGATTCACGCTCTATAGCTGACAAGGACACGAGAGACCTAGAAGAACGGAGCCGATAGGGGCGTGGCTCGCAGTGGCTTATTGGCTTGGCGATACTGTGTAGAGTGTTGGGTGACCGCCGCGATGGCGGGATTGTTCCCGGGGCTTGGGGGCTACATCCCTAACACCACAACACTTCTTTCATCCAACGTCGACGTTCAGCGAGACAAAAGCGATATCTACATCATCTCCCAGGCGTTTGGGAAGCAGCGCAACTTCTAGTGATCGTTACAAAGTTACCATTGTAACGCTGCCCCTCGCAACGCCTTGTAGCGGCTACCTGCCGGCACAGCAGCTGCACAGAACGAGCCTTATTGCCGCGCAAGGGGCAATCTTTGGCGAAGGCGTCAGGGACCGCGCCGCCTAGACAGAATGGTGCCCCGTTTTCCTGGCCAGAACGTCGCTCGATCTGGTTAACTTTTATTGCATCGAACAGGCCAACGCATAACTGACCTATCAGAACCGTTAGACCTACAGACCGTGATTTGGTCGAAAGCTTCTATTACCCGAATCGCTTGTAAGTCGTCAGCCGAAGAAACGAGTCTTGCTTGCACGGGGGGCCCGTCGTGGCTTTATTAGCAGGCCAGGAATGGGCTGGTGGCTTGAAGGATTCGCAGCTCCCATGGCAATCATCATAAGGGCCGGCCGTTCCCATGCATTGACATGTTCTGGAGGCTGCTAAATAAATCGACGAAAGGCTGTTCAAACCATCTTTCGGGTTGCGATCGACATTGATAAGCAAGTCCCTCCAACTGGTTGTCACTCTTTGCCTTTTCACAGTTACGATCGTTCCCCTACCCCTGGCGGCCCGCAAAAAGCCCTCGGACACTTGCTGAACCGCTGCAAGGTACCATCCGTACCTGAGAGTTGGACAAAGTGGTCATCGACAACGACCGTAAACCACCTGGCCATCACCAAAGTTCGGTCATGGGCCTCAGGATTCTGAGGAGATTCTGCGTTTAATAATAGCATCATCGACGGCTATAGCATCCTTTATTGGATATGGGTTCACAATGTTTCGTACGCGAGTCGGTAGCGATCCTGTCGCACCATAATCCCCTGCCAACGCGGAAGAGGCAACACGAAAACGGCTGCTGCGGAGTCCCCTTATATCTGCGAGTGTCACCACGCATCGGCTTCCAATTTCGCGCGTTGCTTCTGCTGCTCGTCGTATTTCTATCTTGCAGTTCCCAGGCTGCCCCCGTATCCGCAACGGAAACACATGGTGATCGACCGGCCCTGCTCGTGGAAGACGACCTTGCTTGGACAGGATCGGCATTGTACCTGGACCTCAGCCCGCCGCCATCCGCCTCGCTGTTGATGCCTCCTCTAAAACGCGACGACGATGTCACGCAAACACCCTCTGCTCCACTATCGGAACGAGCCATCAATACCGACTCTAATACCGCGGATAGCTCCAAATTCGAAGTTCCCAAGGCATTCGATACAGGATTCTCAAATAATTTTACCAACTCATGCGCAAACTTCCTCAATCGCCTGCGTTCAAGTACGGAATTCAACAACTGCCACCCATTTTCCTTACTGATACAGGTATGTTCAACGAGAGACTCAAAGAAAGTCTCGACTGACAGGCTGCAGACATCAAGCGGCTTTTTCGATGCCTCGAAATCTACGCTTCGTATTACACAAACCCTCGATGCGACCTGCGAAGTAGACGCAGCGCAATGCAAACCGATCCTGGACAATTTTGCGATAGAACTACTATCAGAGACGGCATGCAAATCTGACTATGAAAGCGACAATCCCTTGGTACTGCAGGCTTACAACGGCCTCGTCGCATACCAGCCATCGTATCAGGCAAGTTGTTTGCACGATGACCAGGGAAACTATTGTTTCGCAAATGCCGTCAGCAACACGTCGTCACCAGGAGACTCATACCCATATTACCTACCCATTGGACAAGAACTTCCCGGTGGATCACGGCCAACTTGCAACTCGTGCCTACAACAAGCAATGAGCGTCTTTTCTTATTACGGCAACAACGCTACGCAACCTCTTTCGAAAACCTACACTTCAGCCGCTCAGCAGATCTCGATAGCATGCGGCTCGACCTTCGTTAATGTCACAGCCGCCCCTCTCAAAGCTGCTGCACCGACTACGAGCGTCACAATCACACCTACGATAACCTTGATCCTAATGTTTGTACTTTATTTCTTCCAGTGATGGAGCGATACCCTATACCTACTATTCTTGTAAATACTTTACCTTAGTCTCTGTCGATGCTTAGGATCGACTGTTCATTAGCGACGGCGCACGGAAGGATTCACTTTTTGTCATGATTGACTGTTGCAGAGCTGGAGGGGATACCCATGGATCTTCTGACCCACAGAATTGGCCGTCATCGCGATAGGCCTTTGTCGAAATACAAGGCGATGTGTAGATGTACAAAGTTTGTCTTGAGTGAGGCGTCTTATTCAGATCAATAACAGGCTATGATCGACAGATCAAAAGTCAGCTACACGAAAAGCAATCTTGAACATTGTTTCACGAACACCAGTATTCAGGGCTTGCTTAGTGATTGGTCATCCGTCCGTTTGTACAATATGAAGGGCCATGGCACAGCCCACGGACCCGGGAAACTTCGACGCCAATGCTACACAATCTATCCGTCACGATCGCGCACTTGGGTCCGCTCCCGCCAATGATTTGCAGACACCCTGTCTACATCATCGTCATTTCGTTTCTGACCGAAGCATTTGTTTCCGAAAACGAGATTGCACCACAGTACCTAGGTATGCGATGCACATGGAAGCTCCATGTAAAAGCGGACGACGATGATATGTGGATCTGCGAACGTCACACGTCAGCGCATGTGCAACTGTGGGTCTGACCAGCTCCTCGGCATATCTTCTCGATCTCCTCCGAAAGAGCTATTCCGGTAGCCTGAAACGCGGAAGCTGATCACGTGCGGGTCACACTTGTGGGGTGCCGTGATTTGGCAGAAAGCGGTCGCCTGGCACGTCACGCATCAACGTTGTGCTTCAGCTTCCCGTGGTCGGGCCGTTTGTGCGACGTCAAGAACGTGGGCTCGCTTTGTATTCTGCACTTTATCGTGATCGTCTCAAGACCGGCTGATGGAGAAATTGCCGGGTCGTTCAATATGGCCGTGGACCAATTCCGCAGAACAATCCAAAGAATCCCGCTCCCCGGTGGAGCTCGGGACCATCCTGTCATCTCCAACGCCTTAACCCTTGCATGGATAATCCGCGCAGTCGTTGGTCGTCAGCTGTGACAGGCCAGCCTCTTCCTGGCCCATATGTCAAACACTTCATGCGTTTGAAAGGCCCGACCACTCTTCTGTCAGCCGTGTCCCATGCTCATTCTTGTACCTGAGACGTCCAGCTTCGCCGCGAGGGTTTGCTATGCGCGTCCCTTCCACTCTCATTCCTTCCTTCATGACTTGTGCTCGTTAAGAGAGTCTATAATCGGGCTGGGACCTGTCTTTTCGTCTTGCTTCACGGCATAGTCACTCTCTTCATTGCCACCACGCTCTTTACACACACACTCACTACCAAAGCAACTTTTCGAGCACTATCCACTCCTTTGGTGCCATCCTTTGATCGCAATCCACGCTCACATTGAAAAACGACATTTCATATTTGAACTTCACGATGACCGACGTCATGGCTCAACGGGGCCTGTTATCTGCTCCTGCCTCCAGACAAGACATTGTCAGCGCGCTACTCAACGATTATGGCAACTCCTTTGGCCGAGGCGACGCATCTCCATCAGCGTATTCACCTGTGCCTGCGGATAAGGAACTTCCTCCACCCCCGCCGCGATCAGATAGCATTGCGCGCAAACCGCTACCAGCTGCGCTGAGGATGCAAGCAAAATTTCAACTGAGAGGTAAGCAAGAACTTCTTTGATTTGAATGTAAAAGATGGCCCCTGTTTGTGTACATTGAATGAGTGGTTACGAGTATCCGGCGTGCCACTTACCACGACTTGACTTAATTTCATCGGTTTTTGAGCGAAACTTGCTAACAGACCACAGATGATCAAGACGCTCCTGTCTTTCCAGCAAGTCCAGTTCCAGGATCTCCACCAAGAAGAAGAATTCAATCACGTAGCCTGTCTCGTGAATCTAAACCAGCATCTCTGAAGCTCACCATCAGCAACGGATCAACAGCAACAGTCCCCCCTACCCCAGTATTTCCGGCACGATCTGAGTCTCTCCCTTCCTCAGGGGCAGAGGGGAAGGATCTTCCACCTCCACCACCAGCCAAGTCGGAAAGGCGGAAGTCAATCAAGCAGTTTGATACAAGAAACGGCTCTTCACTGCCAGCAACAGATCTTTCGAGGAACGACTCACTTCTTTCCCAAGACGGGAACAGAGACCTGACAGAAGTGTCTAACGAAACTATCTCCCCGATCACCAAGCGCAAAGCAGTTCCAGACCAAGGACTCAAGAAGTTCAAGAGCTTGGCGGAATTGACTAACGGACCACGAGGAAGGAAGGGCGCTCCGATGCCTCCTACATCTGCACCCAGAGACCTTAGCGTAGACAGTCAACGATCAGATGCTATGCCCCGGAAGGCCAGTGTCGATAGTCAAGCAAGCATGGCAGAGGAGCAGCCGCGTAACATGGAAGCGCAACTTCCGCCAACGCCAGATGAGGAACAAGAAGATGCCAAAGTCCCCGCGCCTCCCAAGAAAGTTTTCACAGGCCTCCCATCGAACCCTCGTGTCAAAGCCCCGGCCTCGCCTCTCCACGCCCGCGGTAAGAGCAGCACAGGTTTCAATGTTTTGAAGGTATATATTCGCCTCCCTTTTCCTTCTCCAGTACTTGTACGATAGTCGTACTGTGTGACAATGTCGCAAAATCAAGGGTACTTGGATCCATTTCCAATCATAGCACGTTGATCGCTGACCGAGACTGTGTAGGCAATGAGGCCGGCTCCTCCAATTCCCACGAAAGATGTACATACGATTACGCCCGAGATGACACCTTCTCCGACGCTGAAGCCAGTCTTAGCTAAGAAGGATGGTGAGATCTCTCCGGTCTCACCATTACCACCTCCAAGTGAGAGGAGACCATTCAGTTACGAGCCTGCTGCTGCTGCTGCTGTTGCTGCTGTTGAGCCCCAGCAAAAGCCAGTGGAACAAGAACAACCATCAGCACCCCAAACCACCACAATTCCAGCTGAGACCCAGATACCCGTCCGAACAACATCTCTCGACCTTCCTGAGCCATCCCCAGGCGTCCGACCCACGAGCGCTCCATCACGCCCAACATCCTCCGACCTACAAGATCTAAACCTCTCTCCCTTCCCCGGTCCTTCCGTCCCAACATCTCCCGTCGACAACGCCCCCACCGAAACCACGACACCAGCATCACCCCCTCCCTTCACACCTTTGACCCGCCACCCGATCCCCTTACCCGTCTCTTACATCCCACGTATAACGCCCTCGCAACTCTCCTGCTACACTGGACATCGCCACAACATCTGGTCCAACAACATCTTTCAACCCATGGGCTGCATGGTATGCCATGAAAACGACAAAGACAGGAAGTGGGCGTGTACGTGGTGTCAGTTGCGTATCTGCCGCAGCTGCAGTGATGAATTGAGGGCAGTTCCTGGAAGGGATTTGGGGATTCTGCTGGAGGCGAGGGCGAAGGGGCAAGCCGTAGTGGCTGAGGGGATGAAGAAGTTGGAGCAAGAGGAAGGATTTAGGATGGTTGTCGAGGATGCTGACGGGGAGGAGGAGGGTGAGAGAAGAGACAGGGAAAGGGGTGCTTAAAGGTCCTGATTTGACTGGAGTTTCGTTTGTTCTTTCATTCCCGGCATAGGCGCGTTGGGTGGATGATTTGCTTCTTCATATGATATCACATTTACGCAAAGCTGGAGTTGGATCGAGAATTTACCTAGAATGCTGTGCATTGTTTAGCTAGCACAACCACTGCCTCGACGGCAAATTTCATCACCATGTTCAATAACATCTGCATATTGCCAGACGCATTTTGCACTTGTGACTTGATAGTTCGCCTACTACCTGCTTCCCTTCATCTCCTGCAATATCCTCACTACCTGCGGTAATACCTTCTCAGCGTTCTCACTTAAGCGGGCTGCTTCCCGGCCGGTATTCGTGTCTTCAACGTCTCCAAAGAAGGTTTCTTCGCCTCGGACACCGCCCATGTTCAATATTCCAATTGGCATTTGCATCTCCTTTGCCTTCTTGACTAGCCTCCACGCAGAGTATGTCGCAAGACTACTGCCAATGACTAGTATCCTACCGGCGGCATCGACAGCCTCCTCGGCAGCGACCTTGGTGGCGGCGGGTATAGACTCGCCGAACATAATGACAGCTGGTTTGAGCACCCCACCTTCGCTCGCGGGATCCCATGCGCCATCTTTGTCAACTTTTACGCGGACTGTGCCTCCGTCTGCACGCTTTGGTGGCTTCTCCAAGCAAGTTGGACATGGTGGGTATCTGAACGTGGTATATGGAGCATCCGGAACATCGACGTCACCATCTGGATTCGACTTGAGCCCTTTCTTCCGACGCTCGTCAGGGTTCTCAGTATCTAGAGCGCCCGACTCGATCATTTCGGCGAGGAAGGCAGCCCATGAGGGGTTCAAAGTAGAGAGTTGGTCTTGAAATGAACGGCGCGAGTATTCGTTGCGACAGGTCAGGCAGACGAGGTTACGCAGGTAGCCGTGTAGCTCGATGGTAGGAAGCTGCGGGTGCGCCTTTGGATGGAAGGAGTCTACATCTAATGGGTCCATTAGTATTGCATCTCGAGTATTGCATCTCGACACCAAGTTCCCCTCACGTATAATAGGTGAGGTTTGCCAGGTCAAACTTACTCTGGGTAATTACACTCCCAACCACACCCATTCGTCCCAACTCTCCACAAGCCTCATGCGCCTTGTTCGGTTTCGCTTTCTCTAGATTCGTCCAGCCTAGGAAACTTCTCGCCCAGTATCTCTTCCTCGCCTCATGGCTGTCGCAGAATTCGTGAAAATACACCGGTCGATACGTCTTATTCAGCGTATACGTGCCATTTGTGCCTCTGTAGTCGGCCAAGCCAGAAGCTACCGAGATGCCAGCACCAGTAAGCAGCAGCGTGTTGCCAACATTCTCTCCACGGTCGAGCCGGCTGGAGAGTCTCGACTGAAGAGCCCTCGAAGGTGTAGTAGACTTGGATAACGAAGGCGACAGAAAGTCGACCAAAGCACTAATAGCACCGCTGGCCGTCGTCGCGCTCGCGGGAATGATCCTAGGCGCCGGAAGGGGATCGGTGTAGGGAACGCGAAGGAGAGGGGCTCGGGGCATCGCTCAATCGCACACGTTCAAACATTGTGGTTTCGCGCATTGTGAGAAATTGGGGGCCAAGTGTCTGGCGCGCCCACCCGAATTGGTGGTTATGTCATGATACGCTTTTAGCGCGGGACCATCGTTCCCCGAGATCGACGGCAGACTCGCGTGTCATCGCGTGTCAGAGCCTTAGGTGAGCCGCATGCTTCGTCGCGTGGTGAAGCGGACGGCTAGCTATCTTGCCGCTGCAGGAAGATGTCTATTTGGGGGCTGCAACATGATGCACGATTGTATCGGTTTTCTTTGATGCTTATGCTTGGGGATTGCGGGGTCAGATAGAACATAGGTGAGGCTGTGTGCGTATTGGGGGCTATGCTGTTGTTGCAACACAGAACGTGACCGGACTACCTACGGCTTAGGAAGTCGACGCATATGGATTCTTGTGCTTGTCAGATAGACATCGCTGCAGATTACTTGGAAAGTCGCGTTGGAAGGTATAGTCTCCATACATGTACATCGAAGGATCTGAGCAGCTCCCTATAGTTAATGACAGCTTCACCACTATTAAGCATGCATAATAGACAGTAGAACGAAATAATTAACATTGACAAGAAATGTATGGCTGCACAATCTACGAGGGAGTTTTGTCCCAATGCTCACGTGCTGCCATGAAAAGCATGTACTGAAAAGTTGAAAAAAAAAAACGCCAATTAAGCCTCCGTCGTGTCGCCGGTACAGGTGGAAGAGAGTGTCCTGGTTTTCCGTCCTGATTACAGTCCTCCATGCGAATGTCGAATGCTCAAGGGGTATAAGAAAACTACCAATGTGAGTAGTTGGCGCCTGTCGTTGAGGTAATGTTTGGCGAAGAGAGCTACCAGAGGGTGTAAACTCTAATATCGGAGTGTTTCCGATGGGGTATTGGTACAGAAAGAAACCGCTTGCCGTCTCAGGCGCAAGATGAAAGTTCGTAAGGATCGTGACAAGGAGATGTAAGACGGATAAGAGATGTTGAAGAAAGGCCAAGTTTGCTGGCAATGGCACTGAGCGTTCATTGCTGGTGCGGAAGGTGATGCGAATGCGGAGAGTATTGCATCTGCTGCGGCATGGTCTGCTGCATCGGCGGCTGCATGTTTTGCTGCATCGATGGTTGCATTGATTGTTGCATTGGCTGCTGCATCGATTGTTGCATGGGATGCTGTTGGTGCTGTTGCATCGGTTGCAGCATGGACTGGATGCTCGGTACTCGTTGTTGACGCTGCATAGGGTAGCTTGGGTATGCGGAGTAATGAGTATCGGGGATTGTGGACAGGGTGTGCAAGTCCACATGATGATCCTCTTGTTCTTCTTCGAGGTCAGAAACGCCTACTCCACTATCTTCATGGTCGTGGTAGGTACCATTCTCGAGCTTCTTCTGCGCTGACCTATAGGCCTGAGTAAGATTCTTTAGCCCCTTCTCCATACACTAAGTGAAGTTAATATCAGCTGTTTCAGTATTACTTATGATCGCACATGACGTACCTTTGTCTCTACCAGTTGCCACTTCTCTCCAACCCGGGCAGCTAGCATACTCCACATGTCCCGTCGCACTTCCATATAGGCTTGTGCTAGCACGTCCAGCTTCACGCCGTCCCATTGCTCTGCATTCTGCCTCTCCATCAACCGTTCGTGCCGTTTGCGACAAGCATTGGGGGTCTTGGAAGGGAAGTGTTTCGGTCCAATTTGGTTCCAGTTGAGGCCCTGTGCCCTGGCCTGGATAAGTGTTTCGTCATCTTTAGCTGACCAGGAGGAGCTCCGAGTTCCGCCTGCGGCTGATGCGGTCGATACAGAAAGGCGGTGCGCCGGACCCTTTTCAATCTTAGGCATGTTGACCAATTGAAAGGAAAGACTATCGAGACAAGAAAGTTATGACTGGAACGGAGATATAGAAAGACGGGGGGAGGATGAAGATGAGAGTAATGGAAGCGACCGAGGAGGATATTATGATTAAGGTAGAGCTGGCGCAGGAGAACGACAGAGACGTATGAGGAACGAAAGGTAGGAGATATCCTCGAGAGTGAAAACGAAAGAGCTGCTGTTCGTACCTTTGGGTTTGTGTTGTCTGAGGCCTAAATCAAGGGGTATGGCGAACGTCTTTATACAATGAGCCGCACACTGAGCCTCCATCGACAACAAAGACCAGTAGGCCTCTCGGAGAATTGTTTTGAAACCTGGACATGTTTCTGTAATCGCCGGATCGATCTGTATCTACCGAGAATGGGATGTGCGACTAGGCGAAGAGGAGGCTGTTCACTGGGTCGTGGCTCCAAGCGCCATCATAAGGGACCAGGGCAGGCCAAATTTGGGCCTGTGAATGGTCGAAGTACAAAACGTGAGCGGTTCGTCCCTCGAACAAGGGAGAGTAGACTGTAGCGAAAGCGCCTGTTTGAGAATATCTGCTGTACTCCCTAATGCGGCTGTGTCTAAGAATAATACTGCTGCTGAGTGGTGGAGGGGCAGCGATGGAGGGGAAGGGCGGCTAATCTGGCGCTGATTCGACGAGCGCATATGGCCCAAATAAAGACCTTGGCAAGCGACACAAGGGCAAGGGGTGCCTCACCAGGCCGGATACCTGTAGGACGTAGTCATCAATACTCAGTAGGGCTGAGCTTGGGAACCTGCAGATGGATGCAGGTGCGGAAACGTGGAGGGGAAGGTCAGCAAGCCGTTCCAAAGAAGCCCGCGCTATGGGCTCTGGAGGTTCAAAGAAACCCTGGATGGCTTCATAATAGCAGACCCATACACAGAAAAAGAACATGCGGCCGGCCGATAGCCCGCGAGGCGCTCAATAGGCGCGGTCACTGGATGGGCGAGTGTGGGTTGTGGGTCGTTTCAGCAAACAAGATCACAGATCACAGCGGGACCGCGGGAAGAACCGAAAGCACGTTCTGTCCAAGGCTCCCATGAGAAGCGCCCGCGAACTGCTGCCGGCCATTACTGTGCCTCTGGCGAACGTTGAAGATCGATGCCTGACAAGCTGTAGTAGTGTTTCGAAAGCGCTAGACTGCACCGCTTGCGGTCGGAACGGAACTGACGCGCCCCGGAGCAATAGCAGAGACAGGAATATGCAAGAGGTTTCCACGCTTCATTACCCACACATTCTAAGTATGGGCATAGCCGAGCGGTAGATGACAAGAAGCTGTAGTCTGGTCGTGCGACACCGAAGAATTTTCTCGATTCGACAAACCGTCACGTCGCACAAGAGAAGCGTTCGTCTGATGCTTGGGCGTAGATGGTCGTTTACACAGCCTCGTCCCTCAGCCCCAACCTCGGCATCCGAATTCACAAAAATCGATAACGGCATGCACCAAGCCTCCTTCATACCGACATCGTCACATTTTGCAATTCTCCATTCAACCGCGGACTGAGCGTTCCGTATCGTATGTTCGAGAAGAAGAATCCCCAGGCTCTGGATCGTAGCTAGATGAGGTATCTCGAAAATAGTAACCGCTCAGTGCTGGCGGCGAGTGTGCTTGAATAACTAGGTAGCTCGCCAATTTGTGGAAAGAAACCCATGCCCTAATCTTTGACCTTCTACCACTCGCTCTTTGCAAAAGCGCGAATTCTCTCAAACGTACCGTCTAAGATGGACTGAATTCACATATCGTGACACGCACACGCGCTCGATATCCAAATCGCTACGCGTGTCGGATCTACTCCGGTCTTGCACGGAAGTAACTAACCTAGAATCACTCACGGAACCCGGCAACTCGCTACAAAGCCATGCTATTCGTGGACGGACGATTGAATGCACTCCGCAAGCTTGAGGGTTATGGAGCGTAATTTCGCTCCGCTGCTTCACGGGCGCTTGAGCGGCACCTGGTGGATTGGAGGATACTGCTTACGAAAGCAATGTGTCAAGCAAGTGTGTTTACTGCTCACTAGCCTTTCGAATACCGCTTCCAGTTGCCTTCTTCACGTACTCAGCTGGCAAGGACCGTCCTGGTTCGACCATCAAGATTCGAGTTGAGCCAGCAGCCCGGTTGGTGTATGCTAAGATCACATCCAATACGCCATCTCAGGGAATATAGACATGCATAAAGCCGATGTGATTGAATATGAGATCACAGGTCCACTGACGCGATGGTGTTGACGGAGTTGCTGCTTGATGGGTGCTCCGGAAGCAGAAAGGGGAAACGCTAGTGCAGCCGAGGTCACTCTGCCCCTGTCCATCATCGCTCTTCTCCTTGCCATCTTTACATTCACCCCGCAAGTCCTTCGTCGACCGCCCGAGCCAACGGGCATCTTGACATGTGCTAGGAGGATCGACGTGGCTTAGAAACAAATACATAGAGCTGCCGTTATGGGCTTCGACACGACGCGTGACTCTCTTGGCCGCAGATGGCGCATTGAAAGCTGCTATCGCAATTTACGCTTGACCATATCTGCCATTGTACAACTGCACTCGCAACTCGAAGGAAACAGCCAACTTGGCAATACAACGACTTGTTGCCTCAGTCCTGAGCCTATTATCTCAGACGAAGATCAACTAAGCATCACTCGAAACTTGACTCGGTACCAAACAAGCAGCTGATCTTGTGAAGATGTTCGTCCTGGTACCCAAGTACCTTCCTAGCATGTACCGAACATTGCAGTTCAACGCGCCTTGAGCAACGAACATACGTTCGCTTTTCGTATGTGACCTAGTTTCTGGTGGTTGCGCAACAGCAAGCCCTTGTCGCCCGCTCAACAAGCATACTGATCATTAGCCGGTCTAAATCCTTGACCCCAGCATTGAGCCTTGATCCACGACAATGCTGCTCGGTCTTATACCTGTTTCCGTCATCCGCGTCACCCACCGTGTGTCCATCACCATACAACACCATGGCTAGCGCGAGCTTAGCTCTGGTAAAAATGCGATGTTCACACCGGCTTGGTGTTGCGGGGTTGAATATTGCTTCTGCAAGGGCCTATATACAAAGGACCATGGTTCCCTTCCCAAGTTGATCTCAGGCTACCGTCCTGTTTGACGCTCGTTTGCTTACCTAAAGTCACTCTTTCATCATGGTTTCCTTTCTTGCTCTAGGGTTTTCGACAATCGTCGCAGGTGCAGCTATCCAGCAACGCGATGCTGTTCCAGCTGGATATGTTGCGGCACCTTACTACCCGTGTATGTCATCAGCAACGATATCAACCAATCCTTTTAATGCTAAATTCAGCAATACTGACTCTACCTAGCTCCGCATGGAGGATGGACATCCGACTGGACTGAGAGCTACCGAAAAGCTTCTTTGCTTGTCTCGAATATGACGCTTGCTGAGAAGACCAATCTCACAGCCGGCAGTGGAATCTTCATGGGGAGATGCGTGGGAAATACAGGCAGCGCATTGAGAGTCGGCATCCCTCAACTGTGCTTGCAAGATGGGCCTCTAGGTGTAAGGAACACGGACCATAATACTGCATTTCCTGCCGGAATTACCGTTGGAGCCACATGGGACAAGGATCTTCTTTACCGCCGTGGAGTTGCGATCGGTGAAGAGTTCCGTGGCAAGGGAGTCAACGTACACCTCGGACCTTCAGTCGGACCCCTAGGTCGCAAACCACGTGGCGGTAGAAACTGGGAAGGTTTTGGCTCAGATCCTGTTCTTCAGGCGTTTGGCGGAGCTCTTTCCATTGAAGGCATTCAGAGCACTGGTGTCATAGCCACAATCAAGCATTTGATTGCGAACGAACAGGAAGAGTACCGCATGTACAACCTGGTCAAACCTGGTATCTCTTCCAATCTGGACGATCGCACTCTTCATGAGCTCTATCTTTGGCCGTTCGCTGAGGGTAAGTCGGGCTTTGCCTTCTACAATGACTTGGAATACGTACCGTTGGCTGACTCTGAAAAGGCGTACGTTCCGGCGTTGGTTCGGTGATGATCGCTTACAACGCTGTTAATGGAAGCGCATGCTCACAGAACAGCTACTTGATCAACGGCATCCTGAAGGACGAGCTTGGCTTCCAAGGCTTTGTCATGTCTGACTGGTTGGCTCAAATCTCCGGCATTCCTTCAGCTCTCGCAGGTTTAGACATGTCGATGCCTGGCGACATCCACACCATTCCTCTTTTCGGAAACTCTTATTGGATGTACGAGCAGACACGTTCAGTTCTCAACGGGTCTCTGCCGTTGGACCGCTTGAATGATGCCGTGACACGAATTCTTGCTGCCTACTTCAAGATGGGCCAGGACCAGGGGTACCCACGACCAAACTTCGATACTAACACTCAAAATGCCGAAGGCCCTCTCTACCCTGGCGCTCTCATCTCACCCCAAGGTGTTGTCAACGAGTTCGTGGATGTTCAGGCCAATCATGCAGAGGTCGCTCGTGAAGTAGCTCGCGATGCCATCACGCTCTTGAAGAACCAGGATGGATTGTTGCCTCTGTCTCTCAATGGCACCCTGAAGATATTTGGCACCGATGCTGAGAAGAACCCTGATGGAATCAACTCGTGTGCGGACCAAGGCTGCAACAAGGGCACGTTGGGAATGGGTTGGGGCTCCGGCTCGGCGAGATACCCTTATATGAACAGCCCAATTGATGGCTTCAAGACTCGCGGGGCCAACTACCAGTTCTTCAACACGGATGCTTTTCCAGGAAACTCGAATCCATCACCGAACGACACTGCAGTTGTCTTCGTTACCGCTGATTCTGGTGAGAACTACATTACCGTAGAGAACAACCCCGGAGACCGGACCTCTTCAAACCTCAACTTGTGGCACAACGGTGACAAACTCATCAAGGACGTAGCTGCCAAATATTCCAACGTTGTGGTTGTAGTACATACCGTTGGCCCAATCCTCATGGATCAATGGCACGACCTGCCTTCCGTCAAAGCAGTCCTGTTCGCTCACCTGCCTGGTCAAGAAGCCGGAGACTCACTAATGCAAGTCCTCTTCGGAGATGTCTCTCCATCCGGTCATTTACCGTACACGCTACCAAACTCCGAAGATGACTACCCAAAATCTTTGAGTCTCGTCGGATATCAGATTGGGCAGCCACAGGATACCTTTACAGAGGGCCTGTACATTGACTATCGTCATTTCCACAAAGCTAACATTACACCCCGCTATGCTTTCGGTCACGGTCTCAGCTACACCACTTTCTCGTTTTCCAACGCGACCATTACGCCAGTGACTCCGCTTACAGCAACGCCTCCAGCTCGTCCCGCGAAAGGCGAAACACCCACCTATTCCACTGCCATTCCTCCAGCTTCAGAGGCATACTGGCCAGCAAACTTCAACCGCATCTGGCGATACCTCTACTCCTGGCTCGAGAAGAACGATGCCGACGCTGCAGCTAAGATCGGCAACTCAACGACCAAGTATCCATACCCAGCCGGTTACTCGAACGATCAGAAAGTTGGTCCTGTAGCTGGTGGCGCACAAGGCGGAAACCCCGCATTATTCGACACGGCATTCGACATCACCGTCAGCGTAACCAACACGGGTAACCGCATGGGTAAAGCTGTCGCACAACTCTACGTCCAGTTCCCGAGTGAAGTCACTATTGACACACCCGTTATCCAACTCCGGGATTTTGAAAAGACGAGGGAGTTGGAGGCTGGAGCTAGTCAGACGCTGAGCATGAGAGTGACACGTAAGGATCTCAGTGTTTGGGACGTTGTATCACAGAACTGGGTTGTTCCTGCTGTGGATGGAGACTATGGGGTTTGGATTGGTAGTGCGTCAGATGATTTGCATGTGAGATGTGGGACGGCGAGTGGAAGCTGTGAGGAGGATCAGGAGAGTCCCGTGTAGTTGTGGATATGTCTGGGAGAAGACACCCGAATATGGAGATGGTAGTGTTTAATGTTTTAATGTCAACATCACCCAGAAGAGACCTTTTCCTACCGAGTACGACTATCAAAGCGTTATTGGATCTCACTCAGATGTGATACTTTTGGACGTAATCAGAAGACTAGGGAGGACTATGGTAGATTGCTTGTGATTGGCCAAGGTCAGGAAATTGCGCTGGAATTATGCCTAGACGCAATGTGATTGGCGTAGCTCCGACCATTCATCCGGTGCATTCGCGTCAAGTTGCCAATCGCATCGGAGCCTTTTTATTGTTTCTTTTTTCTTTTTATGCATCACTGGAGATAGACGTTGAAGGCTGGTCGACGATGCGGTATATACAACAAGCGGTGAATGCCGTGAGAGGTTTGGCGTGCAACGAGGGCACTCAGGGGCGTGGGTGAAAGGGATACGGAGGTAATTAGATGTCAGGTGTCCAGATGACAGATTATACAGTGCACACGCAACGCGTACTGTTGTGCTGTGCGCGAGTTTGGATCGAGGCTAGACGTCACTGGAACGCTATGATGCTTTCGGCGCAGTTGTCTTGGTTACTCGGGAGCACCATCGACTCCTTCCACCTAACGACTTCCCCAGGGGTTCACTCATTGTCACCACTCTTGCTCTCGTGACAAAGGCCAATTGAACGCTGCTTGACATCCAGACCCGTTGTTGTAAGTTGCACCCTCCTAGTGCAACGCCAAATATCCCTGTCGCGCAGTCGTCACTGCTTGTACATAAACAAATTGGCCGGGTTTCAGGCGCGGCCACGGCCATCTCCCACGTATCCTCATATATCTTAATCCTACCACGACCGACGCCCAACACCGCATTGCTGATACCCACCACTGACGATCGCCTCGTCCTACTGCAGCCATGTCCAACGGCGTGCGCAATCTACGCGCAATGTTTGAGAACGGAAACGCCGCTGCCTCGCCTGAGCCCCGCGGCCGCTCCCCTACAGACAATGCAGCTGCGACCGACGCTCAAGAGCGCCCCAAGTCAAAGGTGCGCGCTTCCTTTGTCTCCGTCGAGCCTACCGTCGCCCATCCCCCGACCGCCTCGACCGACCTGGGCCAGACCAAGGGCACGCCCTCGAATAGCGTCGCCGCGACCCGACGAGAGAGCTTCCGCGTGAGCCAGGACAAAACCGACGAGCTTGCTGAGCTCAAAAAAGCCGTCAGCGAGGAGAAAGAACAGCGCAGACAGAGCGTCGCCATCCCGGAAGCTGTTCCAGAACAGGCTGTCGCATCGCAAGAATCCTCATTACCAGCTCCGCCTATACACGCCGACTCGACCGCCGACATGGTCAACCTGGGCGCCATCATGAAGGGCTCCGACTTTCCCGACTCTGCTTTCGCAGCCGCGAAGAAGGAGGCAGCCGTCGTCGTGCCAGCTCCTGAGATTGACCAAATTCCAGTCGACGAGACTCCAGCCGAGACTCCAGCCGAGACCAAAGAGAGTGTCGCTGAGGCCGCCCCAGTCCCCGAGCCCGAGCCCGAGTCCGCTCCCGCTCCCGCTCAGCCTGCAGAGAACCCAGACAAAGCTACTACAGGCGCGCAGGAGGATGTTGCGCTGAAGCCTGCAGTCCCCACCGAGGAAGCTGTTGTAGAAGAGAGCAAGCCTGCGCTGGAGGAAGCTGCCGTCGACGATGACGTTGTTGTTGCTGAGGAAAACGCCATTGCGGAAGAAGCCGCTGTCGTCGAAGAAGCTGCCATCGCAGAGGAGATTGCTGGCGAAAAGGAAGCTGCCGCCGCGAACGAAGAGCTATCCGCCCCTGCTCCAGCCACTGCCCAACCTGCTGAGAACCCAGACAAGCCTGTGACCGGAGTTCAGGAAGAGCTTGCCCTACGGCCAGCAGCGCCCACTGAGGAGACTGCGGTCTCCGATGCGCCTACTACTCCTTCTGCGCCTACAGAGGTCGCAGCTTCGAGCGATGAACCTGCTGCGGAAGCTGCTGTACCAGCTGAGAGCAAAGCAAAGGACAATGGATCTCCTGCGACTAAGAAGTCGGAGCTGAAGAAGCCTGCCGCAATCTCTACCACCAAACCTACCAAGGCACCTGCCGCACCCGCCAAAAGCCCACTACCTAAAGCTGCACCGAAAACCCCTACCAAGGCCAAGACACCTGCCTCCATTCCGAAGCCTAGCCCCGTAAAGACTACGAAGCCTGCAGCTGCGCCAAAGCCAGCAGCTCCTAAGGAGCCAGTCAAAGCGCCCACCGCCAAACCTCCTGTAACAAAAGCTCCAGCGGCCAAAGTTCCTACAGCAAAGACGAGCCGCACTTCTCTGCGACCAGCAGTATCATCCTCTTCAGCTACAGCGCCTACCGCTACTGCCGCAGCTAAAACCAAGCCTGCTGCTGCGCCTGGGGAGAACAAGAAGCCTGCAATCCCCAAGCCAACCACCTCCGCCCCACGTAAAAGGTACGTCCAATACGATTTGAAGCAATGCGCCGGTACTAACACTGCTACAGCACCTCACCAACTGGCTTCAAGAAGCCAACCCCGAAGTCGCCTACCCGTCCAGTCGGCCTGCCATCTCGTCTGACCGCGCCCACCGCTGCCTCAGCTGCCAAACATGGCGAGGAGCCCAAGGTCACACGCAAGCCGTCCACTACAACCCGTGCTGCACCACCAAAGACTGCGGCACCAAAAACCTCGCGAACGTCCCTCGCACCCAGCGCGCCCAAGCGACCTGAATCACGTACCTCAACTGCAAGCGCTGCGCCTAAAGGGGGATTCCTTGAGCGTATGATGCGACCAACAGCTGCCAGCTCCAGCAAGACACACGACAAGCCCCACGAGAAGGCTTCGTCTCCACCCCGTAAAGCTCCAGCAGCTTCCAAGCCTAGTACTCTACAAAAAGGAAAGAAGAAGGTAGAAGAGGTCGCGGCCAAGGCCAAGGAAGTCGTAACGAACGGACACTCTGAAGAGCACAAGACTGAGGATGAGCCTGTAAAGGAAGCTGAGCATTCTGAGCAGGCATCTGAAGACGCCACCATCAGTGAGACACCAGAAGAACCAGAGAAGGCCGCCACTCCAGTCCAAGATGTGGAATCGTCGGTCGCAGAGATTCAGACACCAAACTTCCAGGAGGAGACCATCCGGTAGACAAGACGTCGCGCATCTCACATCCTGCGGTACAACAATCCGAAAGTCCTACATCTGCAATACATGGCCCTGTCTCAGGTTGCCATTAACCGCAAACCACACGGATTCAAGACAAATTCTATCTACCCAGCTATTACCCTTCTTTCACTTCTTTACAGCATTTTCTGGAGCGATTGTTTGGCGCAAATGATATTCATGGGCGGATACCTAAGGACAAGGAGCGGAGAGATGGGTTTGGATAGGGACTATTTGCGTGCATAGTTGTTCATTTAGCGATAGGCTTCGCAGAAGCTGGCAGAAATTACCTGTAGATCTCAATCCCATTCTTCACTCCAATTGGTACTCCAATCGCGCAAAAGAAATGCCCGCTACACATGTGTGATATGTCGGCACGTGACTGGCACCTCCGCCCGAAACTCCGATGGCCCAACTTTTTCCTGGCGGGCAATTCGACATTCCGAAGCGACAGCAGACCCCGCGTCGTCCTTTCGTTCTTTTTCTTCTTGAAGCGTCTTAGGGTGTTCAAGATGAGGGTTCAATCTCTTTTCCGAGCGCAATCGCTCGCCACGAGCAGTCTCCGCTGTTCTGCTCGGTCGGCTGCCAGAACGCCGTCACGATGCGCTCTCTCGACGATTGCGGCAACGCGCACACCTTATACCAATGGAACCAAGACCGACACATGGATAGGCAGTCAAACAACACAGCCACAGCGAAGATGGCAGTCTGCGGCCGCCCAAGTGTATGTACCACAATCTGGCTTTGCGATGGCGAGAAAGCAATTGAAGGCTGATTGAGAAATTTAGGTTGGAGCAGGCCAAGGAAGACCCGTCTACCTTGACGCAAGAGAAAATTGTCGAGAACCTAGACCCTGTCGAATGGGAGCGACTATCGAGAGTACGAAACATTGGCATCGCAGCACACATCGACTCTGGAAAGACGACCGCCACCGAACGCGTCCTCTTCTACACCGGCCGAATCAACGCTATACACGAAGTCCGAGGCAAAGATGCCGTGGGTGCGAAGATGGACTCTATGGATCTCGAGCGTGAGAAGGGTATCACTATCCAATCCGCTGCGACTTTCTGTGACTGGATCAAGAAGAACGACGAAGGCAAGGAGGAGAAATACCACATCAATTTGATTGATACACCCGGCCATATCGACTTTACCATCGAGGTGGAGAGAGCGCTGCGCGTCCTCGATGGAGCTGTCATGATTCTTTGTGCTGTTAGTGGTGTGCAGAGTCAGACCATCACCGTCGACAGGCAGATGAGGCGATACAATATTCCTAGGATTTCTTTCGTGAACAAGATGGACCGTATGGGCGCCAACCCATGGAAGGCTGTCGACCAAATTAACCAGAAGCTTCGCATTCCTGCTGCGGCCCTCCAAGTACCCATTGGACGTGAGGACGGCTTTTTGGGCGTCGTAGATCTGGTCAGGATGAAGGCGATTTACAACGAAGGACCCAAGGGTGAAGTTATTCGGGAGACGGACGAAATCCCTGCGGATATCGTTGAGCTCTGCAAGGAGAAGAGACAAAAGCTCATCGAGACACTTGCCGATGTCGATGACGAGATCGCAGAGCTCTTCTTGGACGAGCAGGAACCAACGATCCCCCAGATCAAGGCTGCAATTCGACGAGCTACCATTTCTCTCAAGTTCACCCCAGTCATGATGGGTTCAGCACTTGCAGACAAGTCTGTTCAACCGATGCTCGACGCCGTTTGCGATTACCTACCGAACCCTTCCGAAGTCGAGAACATGGCATTGGACAAGAAGCGAGCGGAAGCTCCTGTCAAGCTGGTCTCTTACAACTCGTTGCCATTTGTCGGTCTGGCTTTCAAGTTGGAAGAGAGCAGTTTTGGACAGTTGACGTACATCCGTGTGTACCAGGGTACCTTGAGAAAGGGCATGAACGTATTCAATGCGAGGTCAGACAAGAAGGTTAGGATTCCAAAGATTGTGCGCATGCACTCCAACGATATGGAGGAGATTCCCGAGATTGGTGCTGGAGAAATCTGCGCCGTATTTGGTGTCGACTGCGCGTCTGGGGATACCTTCACTGATGGTGGCCTCGGATACACTATGGTAAGTACCCGGCATCATTGCTATGCTGTAGCCAAGCTAACATGTTAGACCTCCATGTTCGTCCCCGAACCCGTCATCTCGCTGTCAATCAAGCCCAAGCACACCAAGGACACACCGAACTTCAGCAAGGCCATGAGCCGATTCACGCGCGAAGACCCTACTTTCCGAGTCCACACTGATACCGAGTCGCAAGAGACCATTATTTCTGGTATGGGAGAATTGCACCTCGATATCTACGTGGAGCGCATGCGCCGTGAATACCGCGTCGAGTGCGAGACTGGACAACCACAAGTCGCCTACCGCGAGACAATTACCAAGCGCGTCAACTTTGACCACACACTCAAGAAGCAGAGTGGTGGATCAGGAGACTTCGCCCGTGTAGTAGGCTGGATGGAGCCGAGCGAAGCCCTAGGCGAGAACAAGTTTGAGCAGCAAATTTCTGGTGGCACGATTTCCGAAAAGTTCCTCTTTGCCTGTGAAAAGGGTTTCATGGCCTCAACAGCCAAGGGACCACTTCTCGGCCACAAGGTCCTGGGTACTTCCATGGTCATCAACGACGGAGCTACCCACGCTGTCGATTCTTCGGAAATGGCTTTCAAGAATGCTACACAACAGGCTTTCCGCAAAGCCTTCCAAGCTGGTGCGCCACAGGTCCTTGAACCGCTTATGAAGACCACCATTACCGCGCCCAACGAGTTCCAGGGTTCCGTTGTTGGTCTGCTGAACAAGCGTAACGCTGTTATCAACGATACAGAGATTGGTCCTGAGGACTTTACCGTCTACGCGGATTGTAGTTTGAACAGCATGTTTGGCTTCAGTAGTCAGTTGCGTGCTAGTACGCAGGGTAAGGGAGAGTTCAGCATGGAGTTTAGCCATTACAGTCCTGCGCCGCCGCAGTTGCAGAAGGAGCTCGTGGCTAAGTACGAAAAAGAACAAAAGGACAAGAATGCTTGAGCTCATCCTTCTGAGCATGAGTCGCATCAGGGAAAAGAAACTGTGGGAAAGCTACGACAAGCTTTTCATCATCTAAGGGCTAGAAGCCTACATCTATCTACATTGACGGACGTCTGGCGCATTTCTTGTGGGATGAATGGGTAGAAAGGTGTAGAAGTATTGTACATGTAGTATATAACGCCGCCACACGACGACGAATGATATCCCCTCAACAGCTCCAGTTTCACCAACCCAATCCATGTCCCCCTCTTTCTTTCCAATCCCTGATCTCTCCAAAGAATTACTCCACGTCCAACCCCGGCCTCAACGTCTTCCTCGCAAAGGCCCTCCTAACCGCAAGACTAACCTGCGTCCACCCAACAACCTCGTTGTGCCCACCAAACCTCACAACCTCCAGCTCCACCATTCTATCCCCCTTGTCATCCTCCACCTTCTTATACGCGAAAGCCCCCCTCTTTACTCTATCACCCCCTTGAATCGTCCTTCTTTCTTCCTCTGCGACAACACCTTCCTCTCCCAGCATCTGAGAAGCCAGTGGCTCGAACAAGGCTTCGGATTCCCAGTACGTGATATCCTGGTCATTGCGCGCGTGTAGGAGGGTGATGCGGAACCCGTTCTTCTTGCTGGAAGGTGCCGAGATCAAAGTCCGCAGACGGAGAAGTGTGGGCCATTGGTCGATGATGCGAGATGTGAGAAAGTTTGCTATTCTGGGGTAGGATTGTAGTGGTTTTAGGACGGGGAAGATGCCACCAATTTTGTATGTCTTGAGGAGTTGGGGCAAGGAGGTGAAGGGCGCTACTAGTACTATGCCGGCAAACCCATCAAACTGACGTTTAGAACTCGCCATGGCGGATGGGTGCGAGATGGCAGGGATAAGTTCAGATGTTGGTTGGGTGAAGTAGAGGGCTGCTGCTGATGTTATGGCGGTGCCTAAGCTTTGGCCTAGGAGGACGGTGCGGGTGCTTGGGTGAGCAAGGTCGTCATTGAGGTAGGATATCAAGGAAGTCGCGTCAGTTATGAGACCAGTTTCCGTGGGGATGTGAGGGTTATTGTTTAGGGTAGATAGACCAAAGCCGCGGTAGTCGCAGGTAAGCAGGTGAGTTTTTGGGATGCCGGAAATGGAGCGGTAAGTTGATGGGCGATGTCCTTGGGCTATGTGACCGGCATTCTGGGTGGGTTAGCATGAGTCGGTCAAAACTGTATGGTGTTGAAAGATATGAATGACTGGTGGGGAGATTGAAGGAGCGTAGGTTCTGAAATGAGTGACCTGAAATCGAAAAGGAGAGAGAGACAAGACGCAAACCGATCTTGAGTTTTATAGAGATAGAAAACAGACATGCTAAAGGAAAGAGTAAAGAACCGAACGAAAGTAAAACCTACACCATGAAAGTTAACCACGACTCTACTCTCCGGGTCGCTACTCAACAGCTTCTCCCCAACTGTCCCCTTCAACTCATCTACAATTTCTCCCGAAACAGCCTTAGTGTAAAGCTCGTGTTCATTTTCAAGATAAACATCCAAAGGAAGCACATGCCAGCAAAACAGCTTCTCTTGATCCGCAGTAGTAAGCCAGAAAGGTTGAACCTGACCCTCTACAGGATTTAGTTAGTATCGAACATAGCAGAGATTAATGTAAGATGCTTACTCGCGAATCCAAACTCCTCGGGGTTAGAAACGTTATGCAAGAAGGAAGTTTGGAACTTATGGGCGTAGAGAGCGCTAAGTCGGTGTCAGGTCCGGTGTTTACAATCCGTAGAGACGATGCTGATGAACGTACTGTCTTTGTGCCGTGGGGTTCACTAATAGCCCTACGAAAGCCGCCCATATTATACCTAGGATGGCAAATGTCCAGTATGCCTTGGTGAAGATGGCTTTGTAGTTGGGCATCTTTCCGGTTACGTATTGCGCGCTTGCGCTATCCTCCACCGTCAAGAATCAGCAACGAAGAGGTATTGCAGTAGTGTAGCCCTAAGGCGTTGATTCTACTTTGAGTGTGGAGGCGGAGTGTGATGAAGGCACAAACGTATGTCAACTGGTAGATAGCGATACTGCGGGTGGTCTAACCGGGATAAGCAGGCCGCAGCAGATATCTTGGCATCGGAGTTGAGCGAAGATAACTCCAGATCTCACATTCGAGTGAGGGGAACAAGACAGACATGAGATGACAACAACTCACAGAACTCCAAGCTCTTGAGACTCGCAATGCAGACCTTTACGCAGACCTATGATCAATTGTAACGACAGAGCAGAGCAGAGGTAGTTTAACGCTAAAGATTGGGTATCATTTGTACTTGTACATGGTGGAGGACTACTTCACAGCCCCCGAAACATCATTAGAGATCTAGCACCATCTCAGGCAAGACTTTTCCTAGGTCGCCCAGCCTTCTTCTTCTCTGCTAAACTGCTACTGGACGCACCCATGCCTCCCATCACAACATCTTGGGTCGGCGTCGCAAGCGCAGGCGTCACTTCTCCGCTCCTGACTCTCTTCTCTGGCCCTTCATCGGCATCCCTTGGCAACCTGAAGGCCAGGTACGTTTCATCCGCTCTTTTACATCTATCAAACACCTCATTCATGTACTTTTCTACAACATGCGGTGGCCGTATTGAGCGCGGTAAAGCACTTGCTATTTCGTCGCCATCATCGTGCTCGATGAGCAGCAAGACAGTGACGGGCTGGTAGAATTCAATGTTGTCTATTTCGTTCATCTCGTCGAAGTCTTCGATTCGTTGAGGAGGTTTAGGTGGCACGAAGGGCGTTGACGGAGTTGTTGTCGCAGGTTGTATGGGCGCAAAGGTAGGATTTGTAGGGTTGGGCGTTGGTGTCATGGCATTCGGTTGCGGCGTGTTGGGTGTCGCGTTAGGCACGTTGCCAGGCGTAGGGGTCGGCGTCGGGGTTGGCTTTGGAGCGGGTGTGGATGGAGGCTTGACAACAGGTTCTGGCTCTGGCTTCGGCTTCATCTTGGTTATCAGGAAAGAAAGCTTTGCACCTGTGCCATTGGGAAGCCACTCCATAAAGCTATATGACGGAAAATAAAACTTGTCCTCATTGCCATGCACAAAACTGAAAACTAGCGGGCGGTATGTTGTCCTCGGAGGTGGATTGTAGGTAGATAGCTGCGGCGGTGGTGGGTGGTATTGCGGCGGTTTGCTGTAGTTCTGGTATGGTGGATATGGTTGCTGTACAAGTGGAGGTTGCTGAACTTGCCCTTGTGGTGGAACTGGGCTATATGGCTTGGGAGCGCTGGGCTGGATAGGCTGTTGGGCAGGCTGAACCGGTCGCGGCGGGGGCGGAGGAGCTATCTGCTTAGGTGCTGGGGGCGGTGGTGGAGGGGCTTTTGGGGTTGGAGGTGGCTGTATTGGTTTCGGCGCCTTCTCCTCCTTCTGCCTGGCTAGAATGGCCGTCAACTCATTGATGTGTGTCTGGAAGAACTCGAGCTGCTCCTTGCTTGCGGATCCAGCTGCGACAATCTTCATGACAGCCTTCAGCTCGGGATCCGTGCCTGCTCTAGCGGCAAGCATGTGTATAACGGGATCGGGCGCGGGGGCGGCGGGTGCTTGAGGCGGAGGGGCTGCTTGCACGGGTTTGGGAGGTTGTGGCGGGCGTGGCTGGGGCTTCTGCTGTATTGGTTGGCCAGCCTGGTATTTGGTGTGTTGATTGGGCTGGTTGTGGTTGTGATTTGGCCATGGAGCATATGGCGATGCTGTCGGAGCCTTCTTCTGCACTGGCTTGCCCACCTCACGCGGGCCATAGAGTCTGATGGGCAACGTATGCGGCTCGATGACAAGCTTCACGCTCACTCTGTCAGCACCGACCTGGGGGAAATTCTTAAGCAGCTCCTTCTGTCTCGCCGTCTTCGCCTTGTCTTCATCGGTGCGGTCGGCCAGCTTCTTGGGCTGATTGAAGTGGGCGTGGAAGGTGCGGAAGTTTGCGCCGGACAGCCATACTGCCTTGGACCGCTCGAAGGATGTCTCTAGCACGCCGCTCTGCTGGATTGTCTGCCATTCGCTCGACGGAAGATCCAGAGGCTGTGGTTCTGGAAGCGTAGGAAGAGGTGCGCCGTCGACTATGCGGAGGGGTAGTGTTTGTTTGGGGGGCAACGGTGCGCCGTCCGTGATGGGCGTCGAGGGCGCTGAATCTTTGACGGCGAGGCTGGTCCGCTTGCGCTTCAATGACGATTTGGCGCCTCTTGCGGGCTTCTCGTTGGGCGTCTCGGGAGCAGCTGGGGCAGCTTCTTCGCGGGCGCGTGCCCTTGTCGACCGCCGTGGCTCAGACATATCGTGGGCAGGGAGGAGTAGTTTCCGTCACGTCATCTTCAAGACTCAGTGGTGAGTTGCGCCCTACAGTAGATTTGTCGGACGCGACTTCCGACACGGCGGCACGCTAGCGCTGCACGGTTGGTTCGCGAATGCTTACCTCTGAGTCTCCACGACCGCCATCATCATCTCCAACTAAACGCTATTGTGCTATGTTTACGACAAGATCATATATTCAAATCTCATTCATAGTAATATCACGAATGAACTTGATCAGAAGAAGACTCAATAGCCAAAAGGTAAAACACCATGTCGAGTTCGCGATATATGCCACCAGACACCGCCCCCAATGATCGACATTCCGGAACGGGATGCCTGAACAGTAAATTACAAACCTAGAATCCGTCCGCAATATGGCCGTGGAATCATACTATCAGCAATCCGGTTTGGCTCTTTTTCTTGTGGCTGGTCAAGCCCACTATAAGGCAGCTGTCACCGCTGCCGCGGGATCATGCTGTTCTGTGCCACACTCCACACTTATTCCTGGCTCCGACTGCTGTTCGTGCCCTAATACATCATGCGTGTCGCGACCAACATTGCTGTCTTCTTTGGCGTGTCCTCGACTGTTTTAGCGACCTGCTATTTCCCTAATGGCAATGTGGTAGATTCCGACACAGCCTGCAATCCGAACGCGATAGTATCATCGTCAGTATTGTCTGTGTAGAGCTTGTGTGAGACATGCACTGACTTAATGCACCAACCTACAGGTGTTGTTATGACAACCAGGCATGCCTCTCCAACGGACTCTGTGTATCCGATCCTCACGATCCTGTCAAAGCGCGATACCATCGAGGAACATGTACAGATAAAGCATGGAAGAGCGGGAACTGTGTTCGACAATGCCTTGGTAAACAGATTGCTACCCATGTATCGGTACGTTCTAATCGGCAGACAGATATCGAAGATAACGGAGCGCCAGTCTATAGCTGCAATGCGACTGACACCGATTCGTATTGCTGCGGTGACGACTGTGAATGCGAGAACCCCTTCGAAGTCTTCTCCTTCGATCAATTACCAGCCGACGTCTACACCGTTACCATTATTCTTGAGTCGTTTACTCAGACCCATACATCGACACCATCAGCTACTTCCACCGTGCCAAGCTCATCTGCCAGCGCAACTTCAGTGCTTGCAGTCCCAACTACTTTAGCATCCGCTACAACAGCCCCAAAATCAGGAGGATCAACGAACAACGTCGCTCTGGGGGTAGGACTGGGAGTCGGACTTAGTGTAGGCCTACTTGCGGCTCTCATTGCTGGCTTTTTCCTTTGGCGTCGCAAGAAGGGATACAAGCCCGCCAACGATGGAACTGAAAGTCCCATGGAGCTGAGCAACGAGGAATTCTTTCCGCCTCAGGAAAAATATGCCCACAATCGTCAGACGGAAGTGCCAGGGTAAGAATGGGACTTGATCAGGCCATCTAGCATCAGGGCTAACAACTCAATCAGAGACATCGCCGCTGCTGAACTGCCCGCAACACCACACGAGCCAATTGAACTAGCCAGTCCCACCGACCCAACACCACTTACAGGAACTGCCACGAAGTATCGATGAACCATACGATCAGAATGACGACGAGAAAGACTATTTGAAGGCTTTCCGCTGGGAGCACGATAAAGAAATATACATGGCAAAGCTCGCGGCAGCCAAATTTAATACCCAGACAAAATAGCGGGCTGCGTAGGAGCACAAAAGCGCGTATGAAGCCTCACATGAATAGATACCCATTTCCGCCTGGCGCATGTTCAACAAAATTAGGAGAAGCTCTACTTCGCATAATCGCTCTCTCACTTACAATCTAGACCCCTCCCATGCCACGTTCTGTACATACTCCGCCACACACCCCGCCGACTCCACCGCATGAATATCGAAATGTCTGGTACCTGGCGCTAGTCCGATACAGTGGCTGAGCAAGTGCGAGCTCTATTTCCGGAAGCCGAATGTATCCACCAACTTTTGTCGTGTCGAGGGATCATGCTTGTGCCCCCAGTGTGGCGGAGCGGGGTTTGAGTTACCCTGGATGGTCAGGCAGGTGGGGTTTCAGACTCCGGAGCTGGCAGCCTAGGTCGGATGGTGAGGGGTGAAGACGGGACGAATGGATTGAGTCGAGTTGAAGTCGATAGATGGCAGCATGGGATGTATAGGTAGGTTTGCTGGATTATCTGGTTTAATTGGCTGATAGCAGATGAGTATAGGTAGATGGTTGGTAGGGATCTGTTTCATGTAGTATGAAACATCAAGTTGATCACCACCACCACCAACAACTTACCAACACCACTCATCATCACATATACAACTTTATCACCATTCGACAAGGTACCGTACTGTTTCACAGGATGCAGGAGATGACAAATCGCACAATCACAAAGCACCACAGAGAAAAGGCCTTTGTATCAGAAATCGTGTTTCATTTCTATAGGCATCTAAGCCGAGGGTGATGTTGACTATTGACAGGCATCCTAAGACCCTGCCAATACCCAATCCCCTGAATGTTCGTTATAGCAAAATTCTAGAATCCAGACGCCAAATATGCAAAGAGAAACTCTGGGTATGTACAACAAAAAAAGCTGGTCGCAGACCTCATGCCCAAGGGTGAAAAATGTGTAGAGAGCGAGTGTGTGAATGTAGTTCATGTTTCAACATGTGTCGTCGTGAGCGATGCATAGAACGGGTTATTCGTGCATCTAGTGACCGTGGCGACGGTTGGACCGGCGAGGGCGGGCGATACGGCCGTGGTAGCCACGCTTGGTGATACTGCCGTTGGTGCATTGTGTGCCGGCAGCGACTGCTTGCCAGACGACTTCGCCGTTGTTGCAGAGACCGAACTGGTCGGTGCCGTTGCAGACTACTGAGCCGTTCTCAGTGCAAGCGCCTGAGCTACCACCAGCTGAAGGAGTAGAAGGAGTGGAAGGAGTGGCAGGGGAGCCGGTTCCAGCAGGGACGGTGGGTGCAGCTGGCGATGGAGCAGTTGGCGAGGCAGTGACGGTGACGAGCGTGGTGGAAGTTCCTGGAACAGTGGGCGCAGCTGAGGGAGCGACAGATGCAGCGCTGGAGGCTCCGGGAGCGAAGACACCGCCACCGTTGGATGGCAGAGGAGATGGCTCGCCACCAGCAACAGATGTAGGAGCAGTGGATGGCGCGCCACCAGCTGGAGAGGTTGGAGCAGCAGAGTACTGGCCATCGTTGGGAGCGGAAGGAGAAGCAGATGGCTGACCACCAGCTGGAGAAGATGGGTCTGCGGGAGCAGAACCAGTAGCGCCACAAGAACCGGTAGGGTCCTTCGTGTCATCGGTGGCACCCTTCATCACATCTTGACCGGGGTTGGGGAATTTGGTGGCAAAGTTCTGGGGGGAAGTGCAGCCCTCGCCAATATTGGCAACAAACATGTCCGGGAGCTCGTTGAAGGCAGAGTCGTCGCTGGCACCACCAGTGACCTCTATAGGCGCACAGTTCATGTAAAGTTCCGGCGCGCCTGATAGCTTGGAGAACCATGTCCATGCGAAAGTGGCCTTGCCATTGGGGATGCTAGCAGGAAGCTTGAATGGGTAGTCGTTGGTTGAGCCGTCGGTACCAGGGCAGCCGCCTTCCATTGACATGATGACTTTGAACTTTGAGTTCTCAGTAGGCTCAGTATCGGTGGTAACACTGAGTTGGCAAGAACCTCCTCCGTGAACTGCGGTTCCGCTCAGTTTGAGGGTCTGTTCCTCACCAACAGCCATTTTGTTCATCTCGGAAACTTTGAATCCAAGGTTGCTCTTGCAAGGAAATTGATCCTTGGTGATCGGTGCAGTGTCAAGTTGGTCAACACTGAAAGGGACAGGCGATGTGATCTTGACGTGTGCGTTTGTGGTCGCAACGATGGCAACTGCGGCCATGATAGTAGACTTGGAAAACATGGTGCTTGTGATAGTGGTGGTATCGTACAAAGATAGTGAAATGTTCGAGAGTGTGTAGAGAATGTAAGTGATCTAGCCCTGCTAGTCGTGTAAGAAAATGCTGCAATGCAAAGAATGTAGAAGTTGCTGAGAGAGCGTGTGGTGTGATGAGGACATAATGCTGTGAGGCACTGTTCTGTCTTATACTTGTGTCACGATCTACATGGTGGGTACGATGTCCATTGTGTACCGCCACCAGGCCCTCCACAATGCGTATCCTCGAATGACCCTCTAATCAAACAAGCGAGTCTAGAGGGCGACAATGTAAACGCAAGACAAGGTGCATGGGAGACGTTCGTGGTCCACAGCGGCGAGCGTCTACGGGATGAAACGGGCGGTCCGGGTATGCTGAGGCTCTCAGCCAAGGGAACTCCAGAACGGCGCACAGCCGACGCAGGTACGTTATGCGTCAACGCCCAAGCGGGAAGGCGACGAATACGTGGACTCGAGGATCTCCATGTATCGGTGTAGGGCCTCAGGAGGGAGGTTTCGTTTCGATGTTGCATCTGGATGACCATTGGTCGGCGCTCAGTCGCTTAGCACATCGGCAGAAGATCCGGACCCCTGTGTGTTTTATGCTGCGTCGCACCTCCGAGCCAACAACCCCTGCATTGCCAGGCCCATTGGTGAGCCGCTTACAGCCTCTCGACGCCCTCGACTTTTGGCGTCCGTGACTTGCTCCACCGCGCCTACGAACGAAGCTTGATTTTTCCTTGAAGCCGCGCAGGGTCTGTCACACCTTCGTCTGTTCATCGTGCAAGACTGGCTGTCGGACAGCGCCAACTCGCTGATCACGATCTGCGCCAGCTATGGCTGTGGGGATCTTGGATGTCGCCTGTTATTGCCGATTGGGAGCAACAATTGCCTTGTTTCGAATACCGTCTCTCCAACCTATAATGATGTGACTATAAACCCAATATGTTTGCTGTTTAAGGGACAGCAAAGTCCGAAGGCATCCACATCTCTTCGGAATTCTTGCACGCTGTGTGAAAATTGGCTCGGATCGCTGCGCCTCGACAGCATGAAGGGTGGGTGTGGCGCATGCTACCGAAGTTCATGCGGCATTGACCGAGCTCAGCAATAGAGACGCTCTCGTTCTAGTTTTCGCATGGGTACACCAGCGGCGAGGGCGATGTGGCCAACGTTGTCATTGCCGTGCACGTCGGCAACGTGTACCTCCACATCTTTCAGAAGCCTAGCTCTTTCCATAGCATCCAGCATAGTCCCACCTTGTGGAATATTGAGCCATGGGTTTTCGTACGTCATGCTTGTTACGAACCCGAACATCTCTGGTCCAAGTGTTTTCCGTTTGAGTATTACAGCGACACCACCAGTTATGAGAATGATCAGCGACGCAGTCAGAAGAAGCGTGAGCCATGCAAAATTGCAAACAAATATCTCTTCCGTAGATGTGGTATTTGCAGTTGTTGTTGCACCAAGGAAGGGCGAGTTGGAATCGGTGACGGTCTGCTGGAACTTGACGATCCAGTCGAAGATAGAGTGCGTCGTCGCCGACAAATTCGCTGGGAGGTAAACGTTTGCGTCGGTCACCGGTAAGGTGACTGGACCGTATGCGGATAGGTTACCGGTTAAACTACCAAAGTAACCGGAAGATTGGCTACTGAGCTGGTAATAGGTATTAAAAACCAAGCTAAGTCTCTTCGAAAAGAGATCCGTTGGTAGTACAGACAGATTCGTGTAGAATTCGTCTGCAAACAACCGTCCAGCTTTCTGTATGAAGGGAAAGGTTGAGGTATTTGCCATGAACAGCTCAGTCGGGCTAGACCCTTCGTTGAACTTGATCGCCGTGGGAAATTCCTTCGCGAAAGCTTCCATGATAACGAAGTATTCGAACGCTGTCAACGCGGTAGGTCGCGTATCTGTTGTAGAATTCCTGACTTTGGAAGTGGCACACTTGATTCCAGCACATTGTATTGATGCTTCGACGTGGTGCTGGAAAAGGTCACACTTCGCGATGTTTAAGCCTTGCTCAGTACCGTCTTTGCTGATGCCATATACAGACGCAAATGTCAACTTCCGTGGGATCTTGCTTTCAGCTTGGGTAAGCCGAGATTGGTTGTAGTGGCCAATAAACCCATCTAGCCTGCCAAGGTAAAGGTCCCTATCCCGTTGCCTGGTGGGTGGAGGACGTGCTAGATCCCGAGCCGTATCGATCAGGAATGATGCCCTGCCTCCCAAGGTGTCAAAGGGTTGTAGATCGGGCTGAGATTTGTTCCACCAGATCTGTCCAGGTACCATCTCATCTAATTTGGTGTAGTTGGTAGCACCTGGATCGCCTGTCCCGTGGGTGCCCGGATAAGGCTGCTGGTCGAAAGGTCCACATTTCACAGACAAGTAATTGTACTCTAGTGTGAGTTTGTTGCTGGTATTCGTCGGAAGTCCAGCTATCGGCACACCCACCAAGGATGAGTATATCTCCGGTACTTGCATCTGAGAAGGGACTTCTAGCCAGCCATCTGCATCCACGTTAGACTGATTGAGTGCATCTAACCTTGGTATCTTGACGTTGCCCCATGAATCTTGAGGGCCAAGCTTGACTGAGAGCGGAGCAAGTAGTGCTGCGTTGTACAGGGCACCAGCCTCAGCATACTTGCTTCGTTGGAAATTGCTAGTCGCGGCAGGGAACATTGCACCAGCGGGACCCGTCGTAAGATAGCGCAGTTTCGTAGAAGTATAGCTTGCCTCGTGCTCCCGACTCATCAAGCGAAGAGATGCTTGACCTCCCAGCGGAGACAGAGCCCAGAGGAACAGCAAGTTTGCGCCGACAATAGTGAGCCTCTGCATGAGCAGCTGACTCTCGAACGTGCCCCATACAGACTGGCTTGCCATCAAAAGTTCTAAAGTCTAAAAGCTATTAGTAAGAGGGTGCTGGCTGATGGCGAACAGCATGTGTGAACAACACCACACTTTGTCTAGACGATGGTCGTCCGAGAGTAAAACGTCAACTCACGCTGATTTTAGCACCTTTCTCTGCAAGGAACCGGGCTATCATCTTCATGCTGCGTCCACATATCGCTGCGAAGACTATAGGGAAGATGGTAGGGCCCTATGGAGATTAGTGAGTGACATGATTATCAGAGCACAACAACATACCAAATCCATAGCAAACTCGACCTTGGTTCCCAGGCCATTGTCCTTTGTCGGCTTACCATGCAAGCTAGCAGCAGCACTGCCGAGGACTTTACAAGATCAGTGTCTGGTATAGTTCAGTCCCAAGAAACGTACGAATGAAGTATACCGGCAAGAGAACAAGCAAAAGGTCCCCGATTCCGTATAGATACGAGAGCCATGTATGTTTCTTCAACGGCCGAGCCTCCTCAGGCCAGCTCTCAACTCTCTCTACCGTCGTCTCCCAAGTCTTCGGTTTCGATTTCTTGTTCGACCCGGTCGCGGGTGTAGTACTCGCATTAGCAGTCGTATCATCCCTCTCTTCCACTTCCGCTGTCTGTCCACTCAATCCGTGCCGACGAAAAGGGCTCCATCGCGAAACTCTGTTAGCGTTCATGATCGCGATTGCTGACGCTGACTCGGAGTCGCTCCGTGACGCGTACGATGCTAAAGAGCCGTACTAACGTCGGGCGAAGACGCTGAGATGTAAGGTACCGGTAAGCTGAGGCTGATAGTTCGCACGCAGCGAACGACGCCTCTTTTGCCTTTGCATGTACCCATCCATTGCGGCGTAGTCGCATAGCGAATCCTCAACATGGGCGCTAAGCACACTTTCCACATTTCCCCCTTCATTAGGAGCGCGCCTCCCGAGGGGTGCATTCCTGGCGAATCGGTTGGTGGGGGTGAAACTCGAAGCGCTTGGGCGGGTCCCTAGCAACTCTAAACTGGGTAACCGCCATTAATCACGCTGCATATCGGGGTTCATGCTATGCTGCTTGAAGGAACGATGGGAGTCTCGGAACGGGACGAGGCGCCATTAGAAAGATGCCGACCTCAATGATGATGCTGCAATGTTGGCGTAGGCCAGGATGGAAGCGTGGGGGCCGAAGTGAAGGCGCGACCTTGTCGCGTACAATCGTGTCTCTTGAGGGGTGCCTCACCACAATATACGCCAAAGACATTGTAACATACTAACATAGTCAAAGACCGCGGTCATTGAATATATACAATGATCAAAAATTTATTTTGTAACAAAGCTCCACTACGAAAATGCGAGCTAACTACTGGGGGTTATCACGGAAATCAAACTCGATGCCAATCCTTTTGGCGCCCGCTACGATGCAGAATGATGCCGCCTACATGATGGACAAATGTTACGCCAAACCCGCTGATGAATCCCATCTCCACACTATTCCTCAGATCCCAACTAGAACTCACAACTTACCCTCGGCTTGCAAGCATGCGATCCACGAACTGGACGTAGAAGTTACGCCATTCCTTCTCTTTTTTCGGTCCTTCAAATGAGCCGGCAAGAGTGCGCAGGTACTGGTCCGCACCATCGTCGCCCACTCCCATGCCACCGAGATCGCTCTTGAGGCGATCCACATAAGACTCGCCGACCTTCTTGATGATCTCATGTTGCAGGTTGGCAGTCTCGAACAGCACCTGCTTAGCCTGCGCATCTTTAGAGTTGAACCCTGGCGATGCCGGTATCGACCATGCTAACGGGGAGAACTTGTCTACGACGTAGTTGTCGAAACCTGGCAATGGTGCTTGAGCGGTGTCGGGAGATGTGGGTGTAGCGTTCGCGCCGGGCCCAACCTTGTCAGGCCCGCCCCACACTGAGACCATACGAATAAGCACAAAGATAGCGAGGCGTGCGGTAGGGTAGTCGTGTGTATCGCGAGCGAATGTCTCGATGGATGAGATTATAGGCTCGAAAGTCGCTTGGTTCGCTACACAATATTAGCAGTGCTACTATATCTGCTTGATGAATTGGACTTACCATTGCTAACGAACACAGATCCGAGACCCTGGTTGAGAACCACAACAATAAAGTTTAGGTACTCTCGACGAAGCTCAGCCAGCTGGATCTCATCATCTGTGCCTGAAGGGACGACCGCCAATGCTGTGAAAATGCGTTGCAATACTGGACTCATAACGGTATCCAAGATACCAGCGATCTCTGATTTGAAAGTGAAGATGACCTGGCCTAGGACCTTGAGGAACGTACTGATCTCGTCCATAGAGGAACTGAGGGACAGAAGTCCTTCAATCCAAGAGGGCAGCTGTTGTAGTAGACGCGAACCAAGGACAGCAATCATGCGTGAGAAAGCAAAACGCGCAGCGTGGCGAATAGACCCTGAGGAGTTGAGGGATTCGACAGCCACGAGAATAGCCTCGGATGCTTTCACAAACTCTTCTGCCACCTCGCTCTGTGGTACGGCGCTGTTGTTGTTTGATGGCACCCAATCAGAGTAGCCTCGAGCTAGCGTCCCTATGGCCATGATAATGTGGTGGATCTGGAGTATAGCCCGTTCATCGCCATTCCTCGCCTGAGGAAGAGTTTGCTGCATGTCGTTGAACAGAGGACTCATGATAGTCTGTGCGTAAAGCTTCTTGTTCTCCACGGAAACAGTGTTGGACGAGGCGATGCAGCCCACGGCCTCAAACAGGTATAACTGCGAGTTGAAAAGTGCATCTGCTGACTGATCTTCCTCGTCAGACGACATCTCGTCTTCTGAAGTATCAGGAAGTTCAGCCTTAATTGTGAGCAAGTCTCCAACCGCCTGAATAATGTCGTAGGACACGTTGCCTAGCTGAGCCCGTAGGTGCTTGACTAAGCGTTGGAAAAGATACCAAGATCGCGAGCGGACCTTGACATGTTGGCTGTGGGTAAGGTTGACGAAGTTCTCCAGGACCTTGGGAATGAGGTTAGGATTCTGTTCGAAGAACTGGTAGTAACGAACGCAGATCTCCATGTACTGTAGCTGAACGGCGGGGTGTGGGTAGTTTGCTAGACCAGATTCAACCATGCTGTTCATCATGGTCACAAGCTGCTGAGCTGCGGCAGATGATGGCTCGCGTTTCGCGTACAGCCCTTGGTTCCTGACTGCTAATTCTCCGAACAAGTACATTTCGTACAGGGCCAGTTCGAGATCGCGCCAGTTGAGCGACTGATCTCCCTGAGATAAGCGTCCGAATGTTCCGTTGACTAAGCGGCTAAGGGTCTCGATATAATAGGGTTCGTCAATGGCGGTCACTGTCTGTTGCAAAACGTGAAGGCGTCTCCGGAGATCGAGAAACTCTGCCTCGTCTGTCTGCTCACCTTCCTCACCCCATGAAGCTGTCTCGTCATACTTCATCTTCGCGATGATAGCATCCAGAACGGGTGGCAGTACTGCGGCGTACTGTGGGGGTATCGAACCAGATTTCTTTTGCAATTTGCGAAGGAACGTAAGGAGATCCGTGAGAGATGGAATGACAGTCGAACAGACTTCGTCGTATTGATCGGCGAAGAAACGCAAAAGGTAGGGAGTGAAGATGCGAATGAGATCGTCTGCGCGTTGCCGGATGTGCTCTTCGACAGCTTCGTTTTCCAAGATCTTTACGATATCGAATACGATGTTGTTTACGAGCTTAGCGACGGTCTCGGCAAGATCGTTGTCGTAATTCGAGCTGTTGAAGTCGGCTAGAGCTGGACTGCTGATGAGCTGACCAACGACTTCGGAGAGGTTCAGGAAAGTGATCAGTTCGATCTTGTCCGCTGGACTCATCTTCTTGCCCACAATTTCCGAAAAAGTATCGATTGCAGCATCGCGCACCTTTCCAGCGGCGCTCTCGGGGTCGCCGATTCCTTGCTGACCCGCCATTTCCAGGAAGGTTGTGATCATAGCTTGGTTGACGATCAAGTTGATGTCCGTCCAGCTGACCCAGCGCCCAATGGTCCTGAGGCACATCTCCACGAGATTCAAGTCTGTCTCCCTCCACTTTGCGAGTATTTCTTGCCAGGATAATGAGATCTTCTGCGCGTCTCGTTGTCGAATAAGGTCCTTCAATTCTGTGTTGCGCTTCTTCTCGTCGTCTGGTCGGGCGACTAACTGATCGGCAATCTCATCGTGAACCTGACCGAGCATACGCAGGTACAGCAAAGTCGTTGCTGTGTTGACGTTCCCGATGGTGGACTGGTCGCCAGCCAAGGACCTGAAGTCGTCGAAGAAGGACTGCCATGAAGAAGGATATAGTGCTACAAAAAGATAAGTGACAGTCTGCATGAGCTTGTTCTGAATGTGGCTTGTGTCTGCAGCTCCACTGCCTGGTACGTAGGATGCGTGGATGTAACCCATCAGGGTATCCTTGATGTATGCAAGACTCTGCTCATCCAGACGATGCTCTTGGATGGCATTGTTTACGAGTTCGAGTGAAGTATGGCGGACGAAGTCGGTCGGGCGAGGGTCGCGCGCGAAGAGTGTGAGGGCGGCTTGCCATGCGGAGCCTTCTGCGCGGAGCTGGTTCAAGTATTCGATAGCTTGGCCGCGTAGTTCCTGGCTCGACGTCGGGTTTGCCGCGATTTGTATGGCATTTTCGACCTTGAAAATCGTGAGTACATGATCAAAGAGAGGAAACAACCATGCATACCTGGCTCTCCATTTTGTCGTGTTTTCAGAGCTGAGCAAGCAGCGTTGAGTCACAGCTTGCGTCGTCGATGTGGTTGAGGCTATGAAGAGTACATCGGACGTGATGGAGTGGAACAAGAACTAGATTGGTGTGCTACCGAATCATGGAGCAAAGCGCGGGAGACTGCATCGTGGAAGCGTTACAGCGGTGAAGGCAGAGGCGGGGCACGAGGGGCTGACGTACGGCGTGTGCAAGGGTTTATGCGTGAAAGAAACTACGGTCAGAGCTTTAGGTTCTGTGCTCTACACAATCAGATTGGCGGCAGAAAAAAGCAAAAGTGGTTCTGCGTCTTTGTCGAGGCGTGGGAAGCAAAAACAGCTGTGCAGTGACTGAAGTGGCAGCGCCAAGAGTCCATGGTGGGATGTCCGCACGCCCAATTTGATCGAGTGACACGTGCGCACGAGATTTTGATTTTGGAATGGCAGCCTACTCGGTGAGTATTTCACCGACATTGTAGACCTGTCAATAAGACAGTGCGAGATTGGTAGCCTTTACGTACGTTGCGTCATACTAAGAATCAACTCTGCAAATGAAATGTGTTCTTCGTCACTACTCTATGGCGACAGCTTCCATAGCCCATTACGTCGATCTTCCGATAATTGATACACAGGACTTTGGTGCCTAAAAGAGTAGGCATCAGCAGGACATGTGATCACCAATACGGCAGCAAAAATTTCCAACCTGTGTACGAATTGGATTCTATTATGTTCTATAGTTTCTCTCTGATACCCGAACCGCTTCTGTCGTAGTGAGCAGTCTGCAGTGATAACAGTCGTCAAGCCGACTTACTACGCGTTCAGATGCTTCGCCGCCCACTCGACGTGGTCATCGGCAAATGTAGCCATGAAGTAGTAGCTGTGGTCGTAGTCGGGCTGCATACGTAGTTGAATGCCCTTGTCGTTGCCAGATTCCTTAGCTGCCTTGACGAAGTTCTCTGGAAGTAGTTGGCCTTGCTTGTAGAAGTTGTCTCCGGTGCCCTGGCCTAGTCAGTAACATACTTTAGCACTGTCTTTTGGTATACGCACCACGTCGATGAGCACCTCCAGAGGACCCTTCCATTGCTTTACCAGCTCTGACGCGTCGTGCTCTTTCCACTTTTGTTGCTGGTCTTCGCCAAAGTATCCCTTGAATGCCTTCTGACCCCACGGACAGTTGATAGGGTTGGCGATAGGGGCGAATGCGGAGACGGACTTGTACATGCCAGGGTTCTTGAGGAACTATCATTGATGGTTAGTGAAGTCCTTTGGAACAGGTTTACAATAGACCAACCAATGTCAATGCACCGTGACCGCCCATGCTGTGCCCTGTGATGCTGACTTTGCTCGAGTCGAGTTCTTTGAAGGATGAGAACAACGCTTCAGGAAGCTCCTTGGTGATGTAAGAGTACATCTTGTAGCCCTTCGACCATGGGTCCTTGGTGGCATCAACGTAAAAGCCTGCGCCAGATCCAAAGTCGTATGCTTCATCTTCACCTTCGATCTGAAGACCTCCTAGCCAGTGGGTTAGTCGGGTACTCGGAACTTGAATTCACAGAAAAGACGCACTTGGTGATGTGTCGGGGTATACGACGGCAATGCCGTGCTTAGCTGCGCCGTGCTGGAAGAAGCCCTTCTCCGAGCAGTTGTTGCCGGTACATGTGAGTCCAGAGAGGTAGAACAAAACGGGGACCTTGGCTCCGGACTTGAGTGCTTGCGGAGGTAGGAACATGTTAAGCTCCATGTCTGTGTTTGTGCTCTCGGACTTGTGCTTCAACTTGAGAAGCTTGCCCCCAAAGGAGGCAATGGTACCTGTGGTTTCGAAAGACATATTGGACAGTGTGGAATAGCGGGAGAATCGTGTAGGAGGCTGAAATGCAGATACAAGTCGAGGGGCCCTTGGAAGTTTTGTGAGCAGGCGCATTGAGTGACGTTGTGCCTGGAATTAGTGCGGGGACAAATAGCTATGTCAAGCTACCCCACCTTCCTCTAGACTTTTGGCTTGTTACAGGAATGTTATCCGCGGATCCGCACATGCAACGGACAAGGCTTGGAGTTAACGGAGATCGGGTGAGATTCGGGATATAATTGCGCAACCACTTAGAGACTCCTTTCGCCGATATGCCCCATATTTAGCCAAACAAAACTCCTTATCAGATGCAACCAAACACTCAATATCTCATGTCAGAAGCTCTTCACAAGTCCAGTCCTCGTAGTATCCATCAGGCAGATACCGCCGTACAACGAGCGGGATCTTTTTCTCTTGCAGCTCTTTCGCAGCAATCTGCAGAGGGTCGGTCATTCCTTCCACGTCAATCAACACCGGAGCGTTACCACTGCGACGTTGTTAGTCTTTGCACGCCTTCCTTTCGTCAAGCTGTAGCCTACCTGATTTGAAGCGCCCTTGTACCCAAGACACGCGCCTTCTCGTACTTTGTCATGTATGGAGTGGTTGTGCGCTTGTCGTTAGGAACCTTCTTGTCCTTTTCGCTCGTGACTGTGTTCTTGGATGCTTCTTTGGCAGCAGCAGCCGCGTTGGCATCGCCTGATACTACTACGTTGTCGTCGTTGGGGTCGGCGTTGTCTGGGTCTTCACCACCGCCAGGCTGGTCGTCTTCGTCGTCCATGAGATCGGGCTCGGCTTCCTCGTCGAACTCGATGAGAGGCTCGTCGCTGTTCAAGTTAGACTATGTTGGAATATCTTCTGCCATACTCCAAGTAGTGCACCTGGTGAAGGAAGCATGGAGATAGAATCAACATACACATCACCGGCACCGCCATCGTAGTCGTCACCGCCGTAGTCGGACATTGTTGCAGTCGATGTATGGTTTACGCGTAGGTGTGTCTTGTGAAGCTGTGTAGAATATTACGCGTGAAAGATGGGGTGCACTGTGTATGCCTGATGCGATGCGACGGTAAAGAAAGTTCGCGATCAGAAATCGCAGGGGTCGGCGTCGGCGTCGGCGCTAGCGCAAGAACTCTTGGCATCCGAAAAATACAGTGGACCTTGAATATCGTCCATGGTTCTCCGCATCCTTGAGCCGCTTGTCATAAACAACCCGCAAGTTGTAGGCATCGCTATGGCTCCGAAACGGAAACCCACAGAGGACATTGAAACGTTGCCGCAGAAGAGGTCTCGCAAAGGTATGACAACCCAACCACCATGACGTTGTCACCAAAAGCTAACACTCCCGGAGGTGCTGCGGAGAAGACTGCCGAGCAGGATTATGCTTCAGACGATTCAACCGATTACAAGGTCAATTACACCGACAACGGCACGTTAAGGGCTGAGAGCGAGGCTCGCCGCGCTTGGAACTATGTGTGTCCAACCTGCTCGCAACGCTTCAACCGACCATGTCGCCTCGAGACGCACATGCGAAGTCACAACAAGGAGCGACCGTTCGTCTGCACCGAGCCCGGCTGCGACAAGACGTTTCCACGAAAAGATCACTTGCAGCGCCACCTGAAGAACGCCCATAGCGACCCGGCAACCGAGCGAACGTTCACATGCGATTGGAATGGGTGTGGCAAGAGTTTCACCTCCAATGGCAGGCTCCAGAGGCATCGAGACGTCCACGAGTCCAAGTTCTACTGCACCGACTTTCCCCCGTGCAACGAAGCGTTCAGGAAGGCGAAGGCGTTAGAGGCACATATCAAGGGTCAGCACCTGGAAGTCAAACCCTACACCTGCCCTCGTGTGGATGAAGAGACAGGCGAGAGATGTACGAGTGGCTTTCAGACTGAGGGGGCATTGCAACGGCATATGCAAAGGGCACACGCATACACGCAAGAGCAGGGTCACTTCTGCATGCTATGCGTGACTGGTACGGAACTGGAAACAATGCAGACCGAGTCTGGGGAAACAGTCACAGTTCCCGCGCAACTTCCGTCATTCGCTACGAAAGAAGAGCTAGAGGCGCACACGAGTGAGTGCCACCCACCTGTGTGTGCAGAGTGCGGCCAGAAGTTCAAGACTGCATCCAATCTAAAGACGCACTTCGACACAGCACATGGCGACCCACAAGAACAATCGCAGTATGCTTGTCCCAGACTAGGCTGTGAGAGTGTCTTCAACCGGAAACACAACCTCACTGTCCATATCCAGACCGTCCACGATAAACAGTTCAAGTACTCGTGTACATCAGATGCTCTGCAGAATTCCAAACACGCAGATCTGAAAGCCTGGAATGGCGAGAATGCATGCGGCGCTTCCTTCAAAGCGAAGTCGTCTCTCGACCAGCACGTACGGACACATCACCTTGGTCTCGGCAACCGCAAACAGTTGCGAAAAGCTGCAAAGTCAAAGAAGAAGTCAGAGCCCTCGATGCTGACCATGCTTACTGGAGTTGGCTATGAACAAGGCCGAGAGATCCCTTGTTTGGTCAAGACATGTGAGTATCGCTTCTACATGGACCGTGATCTACGACGTCATCTGCTCGCCGAACACAACATCCCCGAGGATGAGATTGAGGAGATGATTCAAGAGCGTGACGCCATTAGTGGAGGACAGTTCTGGATTGGTGGGTTCGATGATTCGATGAATATGTTCGACTCTGTTACGCCAAGCATGCCAGAGACGCCGGTTCAATATTTCATGGAAGGTAACACCTCCATGCTACCTTACCCTGATCCTAAGGCCATGGATGCACATCATGGCTTCTTTGACCAGCAGTTCGATCAGCTCTCACTTCTAAAGGACGATAATGAGATGGATGTAGCAATGGGCTTGGATCATCTGCCACCAGCGATGGATGCTCAAGAGGGCTTGCAATGGGATATGCTGGCTCCAGTCGAGCAATACAACAGCGATCTCACTCGAGGCTGAGATTTTATCGTCGGCCGCGACTGCTGCACGACCGGCATCTTAAGCCAATGGGCATTTTGGAAGGCTGTCTGAAGGATAGTGATGTTTCTACGAGTTACGATCTAGCATGATACCCATATAGCAATCTTACATCTTCAACTACTTGCAACTCTCTTCTGCTACCCTCGCAATGACGCCTTGAATCCTGTTTGCAGTTCACAATGTTATGTCAGAAAAAAAAAAGCCATCTTTCGCACATGCCTGCGGGAACCGATACTCACACCATAGCATAATAAACGCATATTTCCTCTTTCGGTCAGCTTCATGCCAAGCCGTCGATTCTAGTGAACGACGTTCGTTCGCTATTTAATCGCCGTAGGGGCGGGAAAATGTTCCGCAAGGGCGGAGAGCTGCTCCGAGCGACTGGCTTGCTAACACTAGTCCGTCTAGACTACCACACCACCACCTCGCTCGTAGCAGCTTATGCAGACAGTCTGGAGCTTGGGCCGCCTGCACCCCACCTAAAAGATGTTCCCAACTGTCAGGGTGAGCCTTCTCTGCACCCAAAAGTCTGGGTCACTACGCAACTGGGACCCGGAACGTGGTGTAGTGATCTCAAGCTTCGTCGTCGACGGAGTTTCAGTACAACATAACATTGTATATCTAGCTATCCAACCAAACGAGATTTTTGGTCTGTTACATACGGAATCTAGCATATAATATCCGAGAAAAAAATGGAGGGAACGCGTGTTCGTGTGCGCAAAGGGGTATATAGTCGCGAAAATACAAACCCGCCAATGCAGCAAAGAATGGAAGATGATTCCATGTCGGCGCCCGTGCCCGATATAACGCCACGCTGTAAGACGATAACAACAATGATGACGATGCCCAGAGTGAAGCCACTTTGGTAACATCAAAAGCGGAATCTGAGAAAGAATATGTACGAGAACCTGAGGGGAAGACATGTCGCAGCCTCAAGCTGCAGCCTTGACATATCGAGCAAGCGAACTTGCTTCGGGTATGGAAATGGCATGATCCGCTTTGCGAGACGGCCAGTCCTCATGTTCGAGTTCCGCCGTCAGAGTCGTGTTGTGTTGCGCTTCCCAGTCTCGTCGCCACATCTCAAATTTGAGATCCCACCTCTGCAACAGCCTCTTTCGTCTCACTTCAATGACTGCGTCAAGCCTCTCCGACTCTTTCTGATATTCAGCCTCTTTCCTGACTTTTTCATTTTCATGATCTACAAGTAATTGTTGCAGCTCAGCTTCCTGCGTTTCTATCCTTCGTTTTGTGTCCAGCTCTTGCCTTGCCCGTAAGACGTTGATCGCACTCGCGTGCTTTCTTGGGAGATCCTGTTGAATCATTCTTTGACGATCTAGCTTCTTGAAGTCTTCTTCTGACACCGTATGCGCGCGCTCCTCATCGTTTCTTGTACCCAAGCAGTAAGCCTCGATATACTTTAATGCTGTTGCTACGTTTTGTGTTTCCTGGGATTGCGCTTTCAGAAGGTCATGTTCAGCGAGGAGCTGTCGTTCTTCTAGCCGCTCGAGGTCCTCGTTTTGCTGCAGAGGTTTAGTCATCTTACATGTATCACGATAGTTCGATTCACACATACCTTTTCAACTCGCTCCTCTCTCTTGATCCTATATTGCGCCTCTAGAAGCACCATCGAGCACCGATGGTGCGTTGACAAAGCTTTTCTCTGATTGCACTCGAAAGAAGAAACACGTTCAAACTGCTCCTTTTGTTGTGTCCTGAAGCTCTTGAAAGCCTCGTTCGCCAACGCTGAGTCAATATTGATCGCCTCGTGCCGGCTGCGCCTGGTTGGGACTTGCGCCAAAGCAGAAGGCTTTTCTGAACGTGGAAGATTCTTGGTTGGATGTGGCGGGTCGGCAGTTGATATTGCGATCTCACAATAGCCAGAGTCACGGAAAGCGGAGTCGGACAGGTCGACAGCATGATCCATAGCAGGCTTAGTCTCTTCTTTCATCTGGACGATCTCCAATACTGAGCGCGGTATTACGCTTCCACAGCACTCAGGCGCAACATGTGAGCCTCTCTTTGACGCCTCCTGTATATGCGCGCGGATATCGTAGTCAGACAACGTGTGACCGCATGCCAGCTTTGCGCCTCGTGGCTTGCTGTGGTGTCCATGGTGTGAGGCCAACGTAGTGCAAGTGCTACTGGAAAGATTTTAGCAAGAGGGTTACAATATTCACTGACCCTGACATACCCCGAGTCTCTTCGAAACATGGAGAAGATGGCGGAGCTACGTTTCTTCCGCGAGTGCGCTTGCCGTGACGATGTCGAGCTAGAAACGACAGAAGGAGCGATGGACAGTGTCGATGATTGCCTTGACTTGAAGTCACACTCAGGACGTTCAGCGACGGTTTTAGTGTTCTCAACAATACATGTAGGCTGTGGAAGCGTTGCGGGCACTCTCTTCGTGGTTGAGCCGTCGCTAGAGAATAGATGGTCTCTTGATGTTCGGGAAGGCGCCGAGGTGAAGCTTGTTGACTGTGTTTCCTGGGAGTGAATTGAGCGGGAACTCCTCTGATCGCTGTCCAACGTCATAGTCGAGATTGCACGAGAAATGGTTTTGGGCGGGGGTACGAAGCGATAAGGATCCGGGATACCGGATTCGCGAGCAAGCAGGGCCAACTCAGCGTCGAGATGGTCTTCATTCTGATTCACAGGCAGGCCCAGGGCTTCGGAGAGATAGACAGCATCGTCGAATATGGGAGCCGTGCCGAGGGCGGCGGTTTCGTCCCATATGCGGTCGGGCATTGCGCCGGAGCGCGCATGCACTTGCCTGTTGGTTGATGTCAAGAGTTCGCTACCAAGACATGCGGGCGGCGGCGAAGGGGTTGTGTCTCTTTGCGTAGGACAGAGGCGTCAGAGGCGCAAGGGCCGGCACACACAATCTTGGGCGACTAACGGAGGGGTGCAGCAGAGACAGGGCGGATCAGGTGTCGAGGTCGCAAGTCGGTGTGAGAGTGTGGTTGACATACGGATGGAAGGAGAGGGCGCTAGTGAGATAGAAGACGCCCACACGCCCACTTTGCAGCAGGTGGATCATCTGCTGATGCTGCATTCAGCATGTCGCTTGCATGCCATCCCACTCGCCCGAATCCAAAATGACATCTGTTCAAGGCCGCTAATGAGTTTGCGCCCGTCAAACTAACGCAGCTATCCGGCCGATGTTGCGCCGTTCTTTTCGTCATGTCGCACTTCCCAGCTTTCGCACCGCCAATGGGGCGACCTAGTGACGATCTAACAACCGTTGTTATCACCTCCGGCCTCTCCTGGAGGTGGCATGCATAGTTAGGCGCCTGTCAACCGTCTTCCTACGACTCGTAGCGGTGTAGCCGGAGTACTTACCCGGTAGTTCACCAAGTGATTGACGTATAGCTTCGGCATTGCAGCTTAGTTCCCACCCGTTCCGACGTCAAGACTGGTCGCGCTGATGTACATACTAGCGGCGGACATTGGGGGCATCCTTGAGTCACCGGTCATATGTACTTGCTTTGCGACGTTGGTGATACGGCGCAAAGACTTTTCCACAGCGAGCAGCCGTAAATGTGGATAACCGCACAGTTTGGTTTCATCCCATGGTCGATCGCATCGTTGCCTTGATCGATGACGCATGTGGTGGTGATGATCTTCGGCGCGTACTCCCGTCGAGCAAAAGCAGATGTGCACCCGTCACAGCACTCTGTTGAAGACATGTTCAAATTCACAAAAGAGTAAAAGCTGTCCATTCCGAGCATCGTCGCAATGATGCTGCTACTACTCTAAGCGACTATGTACCGACCCGCATGTTGTACATATGCAGCCAAGGCCCGCAAGTGAAGATCGGATAGTGCACAGACATGGATCGGGCTACTGGATACATAGACCCCCACATTCGGGATGAAAAGTCTCAAGGTGTTGCACGTGAAAGAGAAATAAGCTTCATTAATAGTGACTTAACCGGCCTGCTCATGACGTAATGGTGTTCATGGGAGCGTAGGTACAAAAGGAACAAACAATAGAAAAGTATAGATACAAGTGAAAAAGAGTGCAGCGTTGTATGCAACAGCTTCTCTACCAGGACGATGCCAGACCGAGCTGGTGATGGTGCCTCTAGTCTTCCTGAACGCCGGAACATGCCATAACATTGAAGCGCAAATCTATCCGGAAATGAGTACCCAGAGTAAAAAGACTGCGCCTTGTTAGCTTTCTAATCATGCATTGGAGATGGAAGACACGTACAAATCATTAGCACACCGAACATCTTTGCAACAAGCCACCTGTTACCCTGCACACGGCTCCAGTACTTCATCAATTCGCGTTGGGCACCCTCGACATTGTCTACAACGTCCTCAGTGTTGGCGTCGATGCGCTGGATCTGCTCTCCTTGTTCAGATACCATCTGGGCGAGCTGACTGAAGATGCCTCCTAGCTCTTGAATGGTAGACTCTATCGACTCGATTGCCCGTCCCCTCTCTTGAATGTATGCGTTCTGGGGCTGAGCTTCTTCCATCAGCAGCATCTGTGCATCCGATTGGGGACCGCCTCGCGTCAGAGCCGACGAACCGGAAGGCTCGAGCGAGAGCAGGTCTTGCTGCGCTGCGCTAGTATTGCGGCCAAAACCTCCGGGAGAGCGGCCTCGCTGGGGTGTTTGGTATAACGGGGAATCGGTCCTGCCTGGCTCGAGGCTGCTGTGGGATTGCTGGGCAGCTGTTGACAGAAATTGTTCGGTGCGCGACCGCGATGCCTGCATGTTCTTTGTCCGCACTTCGAGGACATCCTTGAAGTTCATTCCCACGTTTTGTAGTTTGTCTTTTAGCAGTCCCACGACATTGCTGTTGTGCTCTCCCTCTTGATCCACACCAGGTTTCGACTTGGGGTGTTGCTTGGAGTTCATCTGTTGGAGAGCCTGCACCTGGCCTGACAGGGCGGTCATATCTTGCTTGATGACAAAAGTGAGCTCGTCAAACTCGACGGGCCGATCGTCAAAAAGCGTCTTGCGCTTGGCCAGCTGTGAGAGGCGCTCGAGCTTCTGCATGGTGCTTGCGACACCTCGGGCAACGTCTGCGGCATTGCGCGCAAACTCGGAGCGTTGACGCCGTGGATTGGCATTTGCCTGTGCCTTCTCTTGCTGTGTGAGGAGCGACTGCCGTTGCGCGCCTGTCTTGGATTGTGCCTGCCGTCGCTGAGCCTGCGCAAGAATAGAGCGGAACTCGTCGGTGCGGTCTTGTATCGATACGGCCATGGCGACGGTTTGTTGTGTTGTGGGTAAGCGGAAAAGGGGAGGCGCACACCACCTGTCGACAGAACAGCGAGGCTGTGCGGATGCGGATGCGCTGGAAGGGTGGAAGTTGCACCAGGGTAGAAGACGGATATGCGCTCAGTTGGTGGAATGCTCAAGCCGCGTCTCTCGTAGTATCAGGGCAGCAATGGCAAGGCAGAAGGGTGTTCTGATGCGACGCGGAAGTCTGCCCGAGTGCGTGGCGTAGGGGAAATGACTGCGGTCACTAGTTTTCACTCTAGCGTTGGACGGAATTTCGGGGGACGCAGACGTGCGTGCTGGTGGATCGAGTTGTCCGTGGGGGGAGGTCGAGCAGCAAAAAGTGGAATATGTTGAGGGTTGAAGCGCGGGCTGGGGTGAATTGGGGAACGTGGCCCATGTCACGTCCTAATTTAGGGCTGTCGTCTGCGCCACACCTGACGGGGCTGCAATCCGATAGTGGCACTGGCCTTTGAGCCGTAGAGCCGTCAAGCCGTGCGGAGAATTGGTGCTGTGACGAAATTGATGGATTGTAGTGAAGCTGCAATCACTCTTCCTGCCTCTGCTCATTTCAACTCTACCGTGGGTGGGCGATTCTTGGTCTCATTTCAGGTCGGGCCTTCAGCACGCGCAGCAGGTGACGTTATCCCGGAAGCTTGGTCGAACCCGCAGCCAGTCCCTCCCGCCTTGCTCCAGCCACGCTGTCTATCACCATCGCTCCGGCTGTCAACCACCCCCTCAGTGCTGCAATCGCGCACCACCCAGCCAGCACCTTTGTCGCAGTGTCTGTCTCGGTAGACATCCTCTCACCTCCCTGGATTGCATGCGCTGTAGAATATAGCTGGTTTTGGGCTCCGCCCTAGTAGAGCTAGAGTGGTGTGCACATCCTATACCCCGACTTTGATACTACTCCAGCATGTCCGGCCCATTCCGCTTCCAGGCGGAAGAAGCTAGGTCACCACTGTAGGTGGCAACTATACACATGCAGTATGCATCCATAGACTGACTCGTGCTAGCGACCGGAGCGCGTCGCCCTTCTCCGCAGGCCAGCCCGTGTCATTCAAGACCAACGTCAATCGTGCCAAAACAAAGAAATGGGTGCAGGCGAAGAAGAACGCCTATGATGGCGATGACTGGGGCGACTATGACGAGTACGACGAATACGGCGTTAATCAGGAGCCGCAACAGTCACAAGCGCCGGCGCAGCGATACTATGCCCAGCGTCTAGAGCAGCCGTCGCGCAGCTTCACCGACCCTTCGCAGCAGGCGCCTCTCCCAAAAGGCCGGAGGAATTCATTTGAGCACGGAGAAGAACAGCGCGCCTTCTCCTCAACGATACCACACCCCCAGCACAATTACGGCCAACAGCATGAAGAGCCACGGATACAGACAAGTGTTGGTGGCTATGGTCAGGGCTACGACACAGGAGAGAGAGGCGACTTCAGCCCTTCTGCCATGCCCCCGCCCCTTCAGACACGCATATCACAGGTCCCTGCTGATTTCACCCCACCCATCAACACCCAGTTCCCTCCTCGCAAGAGCAGCATAGGCCAGGGAGACATGCCAGCGCCGACTTCCCCTCGATCTCGTCAGGGCAGTCAATCCGACAAGCCGCTGCCTTTCATCAGGCCAGCGGACATCTACAAGCGGCATGAGGAGGAGCGGCAACGTGCTTCGCTAGAATCGTCGCGACCAAGTCTGGACTCCCTATCTTCCCCAACACGAGACAACATCACCTCTCCTACAGAAGGTGGAAGATCGCTGCAGCCCATGGAAACTGTCGCCGAGCGCAAGAGCGAGTACTATCTGCCTGACTACGATGCAGCAGCCCCGCACCAAGACAAACCGCAATTCCACCAAGACCAGTCTCTTGCGTCACCCCAGGATGACCAGGGCCTACAGTCCGTCGTCGACCAAGCCTTCACTCGCGCTGATGAAAACCGCTCGGTTCCGCCAACACCCATATCAAACGACAACGATTCGAGCTCGGACCTGTTGAGAAGCAATACTGGGAGTACGTCGGGGATCAGTCCAATTATGAGCCGCGTACCCAGCTCTGCAGCGTCTGCACTGAGGAACCGTAACCAGGCCGAAGGTAGTACACCCGCTATTGCAGAGGAACCTAGTGAAACTACGACGCCCATCACCCAGCCAACGTCCGCCAATGTTATCGAGCCAATGCACCACGTTCCACGGAAACCCTCGCCAGGTCACAATCGCAACTTCTCCAACTCTTCCATACCGCGCAGCGGCCTTGCTACGCCCACACGTGGTGACAGTCCTGCTCGTTCGCCTGTCTTAGCACCGAGCAGGGACGTGCCCGAACCAGAATCCGCTCTTGTTACAACGGAAAGCAACGAGGCGCCCGACGCGATGGAGGGCGGTCTCCAAGGTCCATCTTCTGCCTATGCTACTCGCGAAGCAGACATCGCCACTGCCGCGAGAAACGGGCCAGACAATGGTGCGTCCGAACTCGGTGCAGCAGAGCTTCGGTCACAAGACACCTTCCTGGAGTCGCATAATGCGCAAAGCCCTGTCGACGATGTTTTGCCGCGCGATCGCTCCGAGTCTCCAAGCAAAGGCCGTGTGCAAGCGTTGGCTGGTAAATTTGGAGAGGTAGCTTCGTCAAGACGTGGTTCCACACAGTCCAATCGCTCAAGGAACAGCATTCAGTCGTGGGAACGGAGCAACGACAACTCACGTGCGGGGTCTCCGACGAAGACTACTCATTCGAGACACAGCAGTCCTGTCAAAGAATTCCGCCCTCATCTCCCAGGCCAATGGGAATCGTACGCAACCACGGCTATGACACCCTCAGATCACGGTGAGCAAGATCGTGGATTGAGCCTCGACACTAGTGGCTCAAACTCACTCAATAAAACTGACCTCACGCCAACAACGCCCAAGCACCCAGTCGCTGGCGTATCTGCAGCGGGAACGGACACGTCCGATCCGATTGCTGCACTGAGAGATGCTGGAGCCGCCATGGTCAATTCTATACGCACAACCCTGGGAGCTGATGATAATACATCCGAAAACCAACAGCAGCAGGAACGTCGTACCGACCACGGCAACGTTTACCTCCCTAGACCCCTTCAGTTGGATCGTACGATCACTAGCAACTCAAGTGCACCACCAACTCCCCCTGCAAAGGATACACCAGAGTCAGAATTCCCGCCACCAGCACCTCTGAAAGACCGATCCTCACAGCCCTTCGAGAGCCAGTTCAAGCGACCAAGTCTTGACCCCCAATTGAGTACTGATCCGTCAGCTGAAGACCAAGAAAGCGATCGTTTGCGCAAGGAGATTGTCGCAAGCCTCAGTCCGTTCAAGGCTCCAGCGTCACCGGCTAGTGAAGCCAATCGATCCTCGCTTGCGCCCGTTAGCCCCGGCGCCAATCGTGCCAGCTCTATACTGCCAAGTGAGTATGACACCTACTGGGCGGAAGAAGACCGCGCTTCTCGTCGGTCTTCGCACGAGACTGCACAACACTCTCAAGACCAGCCGTCGGGAAAGACAGTATCTTTTCTACCACAGTCTGAGGAGCCGACAAAACCGGTGATACTCAACCGATTCAGCTGGGAGGCAAGCAACTCGCAACTGCAAACACCAGAAGAGCAAGCGCAAGATGTGCCCGTAGCAAACCCTACAGAAGCATCAACAGCAGCCGTAGTATCCTCCCCAGTCGAGCAAGTTGCAGCTCAGGAGCGCCAAGGGTCGTCTGAACCTCTTCCCGACTCATACTTCGGCCCAGATCACACTGTCACGGTCACTAAACCGGATTCTATTAGTCATACTGATATCCCACCACAACCCTCTTCTCCGCCCGTTGATCATGCACGCTCACTTACCAGCCCAATCACTAGCCCTACTCGAGAGAACACACGCTCGCCGGGACTTCATGTTGTCAACACGGAGCTCAATCCAGAAGCCGTGGATCTCCCTCCACGCTTCAGTGCGGATCATGAACCATCGCCGATACTCAAAGAGCCAGACTTGAGTGAAAAACAACAACTCGAGCAGCCCACGGAACATCCAGCCATTCTGCCACCCGTTAGGGACCCTCCAGCGCCCACTGCTGTGCAGGATGCTTCACCCATGTCGCCAACCACAGACAAGCCTCTGGGCGCTCGAGAGATTGCAACACTGGCTACAGCTGCTGAGCGAATTGATGCCTACAATGGAACGCGAGAGTACTGGGCGAAGTATGATCATGGTCTTAATGACTGGTTACACTCTGCGCTCGAAGCAAATCCTGATCTTGCTATTCAGAGCTACCCAGTACAGCGAGCCCCTACAAGCTCGGTACGTCATAGGCATACTGGTTCTCTGGCCCTATTTGGCAAGCTTGGAGGATCAAGCAGCCACGATGTGAGCACTGAACAACATAACAATGCTAGCGTGCCAGTCCCTGCGATCTCAAGCTCCCCCACCACTGCTGCACCCGCTAGCTCAGGATTTGGTGGACGAATAGCAAATCAGCAGATGCAGCTCAAAGGCAAGGACCTGCTTCATACCGCCAACGTATTAGGCGGGAAGGGCATGACTAGTGCTAAAGGATTGTTTGCGAAAGGCAAGAGTCGCTTCGGCCGCGAAAAGGTAGACAAATGATCTCTTCTATCCATTTCCTTACACAGCATGCGACGATGCCAAGACAACCTTTTCTTTTGACCCATGGACTACGGTGGGTGATGGGATGGAATCGTATGGACATCGAATGCGGCGTCTATGACCTTGTTTTGGGCGTTTTCGTTCTTTTGCCATTGACGACCGTAGTCCTCGCCTGTAGCCCCATAATCATTTGAACGTAATCTCAAGTCTGAATCCAGGTCGGCTCGGCTTCTTTACAGTAGCGTTTTTTTGCTGATGTGATGCGTGAATCAGACTTCTCATGCCCGGGCCGACTCCGCGCCTTCTTCCCGCGAAGCCTCCGAAGAACCCGAACTTGTGACACGAAGATCAAGAGCATCGACAAAACTGAATTTGATACGTTCCAAAACAGAGAAGGAAAAGGAAAAGAGTGAGGAAACCTCAAATGAAGAAAAGAAAAAGCGTCGGTTCTCGTTCTCGTCACAATTCCGCCGTGCCAGTCGCTCGAGAAGCAGACCGAATAGTGTAGCTTTACCGAAAGATACCCCATCGGTCTTTAGCTCGACACCTAAGACCTCGCCTCCCCGTGAGCTCCATCACTATTTGATGGGCGAACGTCGACCGCATTCTTTCCATGCACCAGACTCTTGGGTCGGCACCCCACCCACTGCGCTTAACGAGTACTTTAGTACTACACCGCCACGTCGAAGCTCCTCACAACCGCGGTTAGGCATATTGCCCTCTCCAGCAAAGAGTGCTTTTTCGAATCCGGACAGAGACACAGCGGACCATGTCCCTCCTGTCCCTCCTATTCCAAACGAAGTTGCTACCAAGCACTATCGACGCAGGTCCAGTCAGGATAGTGCGAGTCATCGGATGCTGCAGTCCGTTATTCGACACTCAACGCCTCCGATCGTGCCCAACAGGCACTCCATGCCTGCAGCAATTACGATAAATCCGAATAACGAGTATCGCCCAGTATTCGCCGAGGACGACCCGCCGTCTAGTGCTCAAGAAAGAGCTGATGACTATAAGATATTGCTGCGTGTTCCAGAGGGATCTTTCCAACCGGATCTGCCCACAGCCGAATCTGGTGATCTTCGACGTGATGGCTTCCAGTTTGACTTCAGTGATGAAGCGCCGAAGAGGGTTGGGCATGACGACATGGATGATGACGATCAACCACCGCAATTAAACCATGATCCAATACCAGTGTCTTCGCGACTTGATCTACAGCAGTCATTCAGGTATAGCAACAAGCACATGGATGTAAGCGATGAGGATAGTGATAAGGAGCCCGTTCGTGGAAGGGGGTTGGCTGTCTTACCAATGCGGGAAACGAAGCAAAAGCCCGATAGTATCAGTCCAGTGCTACCCCCTGTTGGGCCGTCTCCTGGTGCTGTGTCAAACATTAATGACAAAGCAATGGGTATCAAGGATGATGAAGATGCCCATGGAGCTGGAATTATCAAGTACGAGAATACGCCTTTTGTTCTGATCCCACAGCAACCAGACGCTGTCGTTGCAACTGAACGACCATCTGCAGATACCATTGGTGCCCCAGGCTCTCGAGAAAACCCTCAAAATCTTGCAAAATATCCGTCGGTTGAGCTTGAATACAACACGTCTACTCGTGGGAGCTCACGTATTCTGCCTCATCACAGGATCAACGAGATTTCCAGCGCAGAGCGACAAATTGGGTATAGAGATCGCGCCTCTGATGTTGAATCACCTACTCTTGGTCTTCTTGATGATGCCTTTCGTACTGGTCAAGTCCGACGGATTCCCTCATCCGAGGCTGAGGTAATTGTTGCGCGCGATGCAACACCTGCATCAGATACACCCGTTGATGACAAAGATGATCAAACTGCGTCAAAAATTGAGAAGACAGATGCAGAGCGTGCCTTTAGCCCCGTGTGGTTTGCCAAGAGTGATTTGCAGCTGCCCGACACGAACACACGGGGTCTCGGGGATGCAGACGAACGCGCGCAAGCCTGTGCAGCGACGTTTGCAGAGGAACCCGGCGAGAACGCAAGGAGTCCACCAGAAACCATTGGCGAGATTGCAGCCCCAGCCCAGCAACAAATACGAGGACATGGGGAGACTTCGCTTAGCGACACCCTTGCGGGGGCCAATGCTGCAACTGCTGACAGCGACACCTCGACGCGCCGCGTCTCTACGCCGCCTTCTCGGGGCGTCAACGCCGTTGAAGGATATCCCGCATCTGATCTGGTCGATACATCATGGGACCACAGACACTCCACAATTGAACCGCGCGTTGATACAGACGATTCTGATAAGATGAGAGATGAAAGCGACCGCGTAACGCCCGTTGCGCAGGTTCCGCGCATCACCCAGAATGGCCCCGAGACACCCAAGGCTGAAGAACCGCACGACGAGATTTCTCATCCCACGATGTCAAATGGCTACTTCCGTGGCCAGGGTAACTTTCCAGACTTCAAACACCAAGCACATCAACTGCAGGTCTCGAACAATGCTACAACAGCTCCAGAGCGGTCAAGGTCCATGCTCTCGCAAATATCTGCCATGGTCTCAGACGACGGCAACAATCCATATTCACAGACATCTACTGGAAGATCTACCCCGTCTACCATTCGTCGAATGCAACCAGACTCTACCATGAAGCCTTCGACGGCTCCACCACAGATCCCTGAGGAAGTTTTAACGTCGTATGGCGATCATACAGCGAATGGCAGAGATGATGACTTCGATCTCTATGCAGATCACAACGGAGTTGTCAAGGATGTGCAAGACAAGAGTGGCCGGCCCTTGCGGCTTGCAGATCTCCAAGTACCAGGAACAGCGCCACGACCACAGCCATCAAAATCTTCAACCTCCGACATTGGGAGTGCACCAGCATCTCGTGATGGGGAGCATCCAAGATATAGTTTTGAAAGGCCAATGAGCTTCGTTTCAGGGCCTGAAGACCAGGATGGTAAACCTCAAGACCAGATCAACCAGGCCGCAGCCTCGAACGCAATGCAGGTGCTACCAGCTTCTGAGCAGCACCGACATCAACCACAACAATCACGAAATATGGAGACAGTGTACTCGATGAACCCGCCAGCAAGCATGGCTCCGCCACCAGACCAAATCACATCGCGGCACCAACCAGTGCCTGCTCCAGGACCAGGCCCGTCGAAAAACATTTTCCACGCTGTCAAGTCAATCAATCCTGAAAGCAAGACGATTCAGCCAGCTATTGACTCTTGGCGACCCTCGGGCGAATCCGTTTCCCAGCAGGTGCTCTCTGAGAATCCTAATGTCAGTTACCAACCACCACCGACCAATCAACCCTCAGACCATATGTTGCATGAGCCACAAAGGAGACCGATGATTCCCGGTCAACCAGTTTCGCAGGATGCTCAGAATTACCCGCAGGCACAAGTGGGATCCCATGAGATTCAGGCGCATACGCAGGGCAGTGTACCACGGAACCAGTTTGAACATCATCAGCAGATGATGCAGAGGCAAGCACAATACCCTCGACATCAAGATGCAGAGTTCAGACCGCCTACTACTCGTTCACATCCGTCTGCCGAACAAGTACCAAGACAACAAGAGAAGCCATCAAAACCCAGACTTTCATCCATGTTTAAGAGCCTTGGCGGGAAAACCCAAGCAAATTCTCAGCACCCGCCGAGCACTAGCAACACCACCATGCTTTCGGATTCCAAGCCCCTTCCACCCAATCCCAGCTATAGTGCTCCGGTTCAGTCTGTAATGGATAGGTTCACACGACCTAGAGAGGCGTCCAAAGAGAGACCTGCTGAACAGCCCAGGTCTTTCGTGCCACCCAACCGCCCAAGTATGGGTCAGCAACCACAATTCATCCAAACCCCATTAGTGGTACCTTCGACCGACTTGCATCGTGATGCAAGGGTGCCCATGACATCTGGTGCCTCAAATGGTTTTCCATCTCTGCAACCACCGTCCATGCCCCAAGCCCAGGCTCAGTCGTACCAAGTAACCCAGTCAGGAACACCAGAAAATGGAAAGAAGAAAAGGTTTTCTGGATTTGGAGCTTTGTTCAATCGAGGTGGTGTGAGCGGCGACGGGCCGGCTGCGAAGTCCAAGTTGTCGAAAGAAGGAAAGAAGGCACAGAAGGCTCAACGGAGCTCCTCTGTCCCTCCTGTTCAACCTCCACCATCTCAATGGCTGCCTCAACAACAGCAAACATACAAGCCACAACAGTCCGGTTTGGCATACTATCCTCCTGGACAACTGCCGCCACATACTGTGCATAATGAGCCACCCATGGGTCCAAAGCTAGGGTTATCTCAGCCAGCACCACATATGTATTCTCAAGGACCACTTCAACAGTATCAACAGGTGCAAAATATGCCGCCGGCACGGAAATCGATGTCCAATACGCGTCCAGAAGAAGGCTCTGCATTCCTCAAGACAAAGCAGCTAGCGATGGAACACCAAGCTCGGCAGAGTAGTTTGCAGTCACACCACCCTCTTGCTTCTAATGCTGGCAATGCAGCACAATCATCAAGCCGAATGTCTGGAAGCGCTGTTCCCCACATGCGTCATCCAAGCTTGGGTCCTCCTATTGGTGGATACTACAAACCTCAAGCTGAGCGACCTTCAGCGGAACAGGGAGCCTACGCAGCTTCTTTAGCTGCACGACAACAAGCAGAGCAGCACAAACAGCAGCAGATACCTCAACAGGGAGCCTATGCAGTATCGCAGGCTGAGCGACAACAGGAGAGGCAGCAGTCTGCGGGAAGCCAAAATGTTCATAGGGATCCTCGTCATACTCAGCAATCGGAACGGCAAACATATCCTGGACCGTCGCCAGAGCAACTCGCTCACCAGGCCTGGCTTGCACAACGCGAGCAACTACGGCAACAGGGGAGACTCACCAACGAACACGATCGGTCGTCGCTGAATGACGATGCGCAAGTCCAGCAACTGCACCTACAACAGCAGCAAGACCAACACATGGAACAACGGCAGCCGAACAATTCCCAACCTCTTCCCTACCATAACGCGTCCGAACCCAGACTTCAACACCCTTCTCAAGAAGCTGTTCCTATTTCTCCACCACCTGTTTCTCCTATGCAAGAGCCCAGATATGACGCACCTCCGATACCAGCCGCGTATAATCCTGTTTCTGGGGCTTTTATATCCCCACTTGACCGGGAGCAGCAGCCCATATCAAATCAATTTCATCGTCAAGATTCGGAACCTAGAATGCAAACGGTATCGCCACAGATATCTGCACAGTCTCCAGCTCTTCCCAACGGTCGATCACACTCAGATGCAAGCACTATGTCTCTAGTATCGCCAATCTCAAACTCACCAGCCTTGCCTAATTCTTCTCCACCTCCTGTTGGGCAGCGTTACCAGAAGCCAAGGATGAGTAGTATCTCCGAAGTACATCAACAAGACCGCCCATGGCACTTCAACTTCCCAGAGGGCGCCACTGAGCAGGAGATTGTTCGAGCACGTCAGGGACAATACATGCAAGAGCGCTTCACTGCTCAACAACAGCAACAGGCTGAGAGAGCTGCTAGCTCACCATCGCCTCGTGCATCACCGGAACAGATGACGTCAACGACTGTGCCTTCACATGCTCAATCACAGGGCGGCGGTTTCAGAGAACTTTTACCCCGGCACTCTTCACAGCCTGATCCAGAATCACAGGTTACACAGTCTAGTCACGATCTGCAGCCCATGGTCCATCGCGATGCAACTCCTGTACAGCCCACGCCGATACGTCCTGGACAATCTCCACCACCCGCAGCGTACCCTCTCCCCATGTCGCCTGACCCGACGCTAATAGGTAGTCCTGTGAATCCCACCGCAAGCGGTTTACCGCCACCTCCACCCCCGAAGGTCGCCCACAGCCCTGTGCGGCCTGGATTTGGCAGTACGCAACCATTTTCATTCGAGAATCAACGACAACAGTTCCATCATCCCTCGTCTCGAGATGATGGATATGGTTCGTCACAAACGGTCGTGCCACAGTATGACGAGCAGGTACCAGATGAAGCTCCACCGTCGTACGATGGTCTCGGTGTACCCAACGACGGAATGAACAAGAGTCGTCCAGAAGCACTTCGACCACCTAACATCACGACGAATCTGGAGTATGAATCACGCGGCCGACAATCAGGATCTCGACCACGTCAACCATCGATTGGTATCCTGCAGCACCCACAACCAGCCTCGATGGCTGCATCGCCCCAACGCACGTCACCGGACATGGGTGCCGAGTCTCTGCGTCGCCAGCTTCTGCAGCAAGAAAATCTCGCACACATGGAACGCGTTCAGCGCGAACAAGAGCAGCGCGAAAGACATGAACGTGAGAGGCTAGAGCGCGAGGCTGCAAGGGCAAGAGCCAGAGAGCTTGAACGGAGTGCATCTGGTGGCGGACAGGTCCCCAGCCTAAGGAGCGTTGGTGGTAGTACTACTGGGGGACCTTCAGGCTGGGAGAGACGCGGAAGTTATAGCAGACCGGTGTTTGAGTTGCCTGCTGTTGAGGATGACGAACCCACTATGAAGGCGACTAGCTACCCTGGACAGGAGTGGGTACCGCCTATGTGGGATGGCGACTGAGCCCTACGCCCTAATTCGCCCTTTTTCTTTTCTCCACAATCGTCTCAGTCGAGTTTCCACTACCTGTCATGATCCCTATTCATAATTCCTTGGAAGCGATAGGGTCTCGTTTTTCCTTTTCGCGTATACCACCACATCATCGCATCTAGGTCTATCTACGCGTTTTGAGCAAATTTGGATACCCCAATCATTTCTTTCTGTACACATCGGACAGTTTCGGTCTTATTTTTCCTATGATTGTACGATCCCTGTGTTTAAATGTTTAATCGTGGTCGAACTCATAGGCTGATTTGAAGTTGGGCACAACGGTGTCAGTCTCGTATATATGTCCCCGTATTTAGTAATGTAATTTGCTATACCAGAAGCAAGATTTACTCAGCAATACGGTACCGATTCTTTTCCATTGGCTGGGAGCTATTTGGGTGTCAAACTGAGGTGCGCAATCTCTGAGTCTTACCGATACACGCGGTACCATGGATCGTGGTGGGCTCCCGCCTAGAAAGCTGAGATATCAGCGAGGACTGCGTCAGATTCTGCACGGGTATCTTCCTACGCTAGCGAATGTGTGAAAGTTGTGATAAATTGTCCCGGCTGATTCCTCAAGTTCCCATGATTCCCATGCTATGGATGGGTCTAGTGTGGTGAAAGTAAGCAGTGAACAAGCACTGTGAGTCTATCAAATCTTGCGTTCGTGTACGAATAGTGCTGTACGCAATCATTTACAGGAGGTATTTGGTGACTAGAGCTTCTATCCACTCGTCTGCACCCTTATACTTATTCTTGTCCTTGCATACGTTGCTCATCTAGCATCAAAGTCATTTACAAAGTGCTACCAATTTTCGTACAACCGAACTACAACGAGAGAAAAAGTGGAAACTTCCTAAAAGAGGAGACTCAAATTTGGCATCAACTACAGTACTACAATGTTTCGCAAAGCCACAAAAGTCGCTGCACGTCAGCACATCACTCGATGCGCGCACCGTACACTTCGCTCAAACCTCTTCAACAAGGAAACAGTCTTTGACAAGGAACTCGAAGAAGAATTTGGCTGGATGACAACTTACTCGCCCTTCGACCCTTGTTCGTACCGTCCGATTTCCCTCCCAGTGCAAAATAGCATGGTCATACAGATGCCTACAGCATTACTGGGGTTCAAGACGTCGGAGACAGAGAACGGCGTGGACGCTGTGAAAGAGACGAAGAAGGGAGAAGCGATTTTCAAACCATGGCCGTATTCCCTTCCTTCGTTTCTCCAACCCAAGAATGGCACAACGTTTTCGCTTGTTAACGGCAGTTCGACCACTCATACCAAGCACACAGGCGTCCTCCAGGCTATTTTGTACGGTGTCCCAGATCCAGAGCGCTTCTCTTACAAGCGAGAATTGGTGGCTCCAGGTAGCCTTCTGCATAAGATCCTGTATGGAATCAAGGAGATGGATGATGGAGAGGATGTTGTTCCTGTTTCTAGTGTCACATTTGCCAAGATTGAAGATGAGGCTATGGGTGAAGACAAGGCAGGAACGGAAGCGAAGATCATAGTGGTAAAGAACTTGGGTGTCAAAGTCGAGGTGGAGCATGTGATGAAGAAAAGTGATATGAGACATGGCATGATAGCCAAGTAGTCCTTGGACGACGCTTTAAGTCCCTTCTAGAAGACGAAATGTGAACTTCTGAGTCCGACATTTCGAAAATTCAGACTACATTTGGGGGAATTCTGTAGTATGCTTGATATACCATTGCAAACAGGAAATGGCTGGTTGGGCAAGTAATCCGGAATTTGGTTCGTCCGCATTCGATGCATGAGAAACATGGTTAGCCAACTACGTATCCTGGAAACTGCGAACATTAGTACAGGTCATTTTTTCATATAACGTACACTCAGGATTCTAAACTCTTTTTCATTCTCTATAGTAGCATATTATGGGAGATGTAACCGAGCTCCTGGCTTCTCTTGTAAACGATCCGGATCCAATACGTCAAGCTGGAGTCGGTCTACATGCAACCTCCTCTCCATCGTCCTTCACAGCAATCAACACGAGCATTATTACCAACACCGCTATCAAGAGAAATACGTCTGAGCCTCGCAGGTCGAACAAAAAGCCAAAGACAGCATTCGATCTCAACAAAGAACACAATGGACCAGATACGGCTCTCAATCCTGAGCCTCTTCACCAGATTGATGCCATGACTACAATATCCTCTTCAGGGACGAGATCTGCTACCGTTATTTCGTCTTTTACTTCAAATGTCGACCCCAAGCGTAAACCCAAAACCGGCAGACACAGCAAAGGAAAGGCCGCCAAAGAAGATCTTTCCTCATCACGCAAGTTCTTGGAAAGCACAGCCTTTGAGACTGGATCAGCAGCTGCTGCGGAAGAAAAGACAACAATCGAGATACACAAATCGGCAAAGGAAGCAGAATGGCAGTTATTTCAGCACGGACTGGGTTGGCATGAGGGACGCGATCCTTATGGTCTAGCTAGTCAACCGTATCATTGGTGGGAAGAACTAGTACCTTGGTGGGTGTGCAGAATGTGCAAAGAAGAGGATGAGAGAACGAGGGAAGGTGGTGCATGGCTGTCGCAAGGCTGACTGTAAGGTTGTGTGGTGTAGACGGTTGAAGGTTTGAATATGCTTGATAGAAACTGCAGTAGCAATACTCGCCTTACACTGAGAAGAACATAATCGGTGTGTTCTTCTCAGTGTAAGGCGAGTATTGCTACTACAGTTCCTTTTGCGCATACGCAAGACTAAGCTGAACATAAATAATGTATTTTTCTGAATACAGGACGAGTATTACTGTTGTGAATATTAGTATAAGGCATATTTGGGAGATCCTACACCCCGCCGGTTATCCGGCACTATACCTGCAACGGTTACTGTGCCTCAAGAGCTGTGCCTAATAACGTAGACTTAGCATCATTATACTACCCTAAGCGTTTCAACCGACCAACAATCATCTCACTTGCACGCACGCGAGGGAAGTTTCCTTGTACTCGTTCACGTAAGTGGCATTAAAGTCACAGAACCTACCTAGATGAACTACTCTGCCCTATGGCGCGAGAGAAACTCGACAAAAATGCAACAAAAGTCGCCGAGTCTGATGAGGTTTACACGCGCTATCTCATGAGGTACCGACGAGAAGCTTCGCTGACTCCTTTTAGGGACTGAATCTGGATCCAGATCTACGTAGGCTTCGCCCTTATACTCTCTTCGTAGCCATCCCTACCACGTCCAACTCCTCGACTGTTACCAGTTACTGGAAGCCGTCGTCATCTACCTCACGCTCTCACATACAGCTTCATACGCCGCTTAAGCTTGCTCAAATCCAGCTTGTCGATTCATGCGAGGATTTCGGCGTTGTGTGCATTCCAGCTCACGAACTTGGCCTCGCAGACTTCTTCCAGCGCCAGATTGAATCTCTAGAGATACCGTCTCGAGATGCAGAGATAACATCGAAGCTTGTCGCCAGTTTGCGGGACTCAAAGGCCAGCAACGCTAGTGGCGATGGAGTGGAAGTGAACATTCTTAGCATCACGATCCTCGGAGATGAAAACGGGGACCTAGTTCCCGAAGGGTGCAAGTTGCTCTGGAGGTGGGTGAAACCCCACAGTCAGTATTGTAAGTCAGGCTTTTGGGACTGCAGCCTGACAAAGGTCTTGGTGGATGCGGAGTGGAATGCAGGCAAAGGCGTCTCTATATTGGTAAAGGCTGCGGAAGAGGAAGAATACGACAGGGTGTTGCAAGGAGAAAAGAAGGCTGAACTTCCCTTTCAAACATAATGCAGGTATCACTGTTAGAGATGCTGATAGATTTGGATTGTAGAGTAGAGCTCCTCCTGCGAGCTGATTAATGTATGACGGCGTGCGAATTGCGATTTTTGACAGCCTGCTATAAAGCTCTCTTCTCTACCACAACATTTCCATGCGGTCTTTTCTGTTTGGTGTCATGGATAATGATACCTAAGATTACAGAATTGACAAGGAAGAATATTATGCTAGATATCCAGAGTCCTGGAACAAAGGTCGAATGGCCGTTGAACTCGAGCTGAAAGCCTTGTTGTAGCCAAGCAACTTGGCCCACGATCCAGAAGACGAGCGCAGGAATGCCGATAGACGAAGACTGGAGAAGGGTCGAGTCCGGAAGATAGTATGGGAGGAACATCATGTACCAGAGGAAGTACTAGAAGAGATTAACGTCAACACAGGGCTGATGAAACGATACAGTACTTACCTGGCTTGTGCAGACCTTGTTGAAGGTAACAAATGCAAAGGTCTGCGCTAACATCGTATTTGGGAGGTCTTTCTTTGCTAGCACCAAAGGCGTGAATACAGCGCTGAGGAGCAGTTGTGGAAGGAACGCCAGACGTTCCAATCCGAAAGACTGTGTTGCGGGTCCCATATTGGCAGGCTTTGGCGAGGACTTTAGATAGAGAAGCGTGTTATAAGGCGAAAAGTTATGACGGTGATCGCTACGCGTCACATGGTAGAGATAGCTGTGTTCAAGGAACGGCCACCCGTACATGTTGTACATGAGAAGGTTCAGACTCGCAAATGTAAGGAGGCTGTAGAGCGCAAGGTATATTCTCGCAGGGTTGAGAAAGTTGCGCATCCGGCCGAAAAGCGACGGCGCCGATTGCGCCTGAGCAGCTCTTTCCACCTCCATCTGAGTATCATCGAGAAACCAGACGATAGAAGCTGCGTAAATGAATGGATAAATTTTGAAATGCACTGCAAATCCGAGCAAGAACCCAGCGAGCGGTCTCTGTTTTGCCAGCACCGCCCATAACAGCGCAGTGACGAAGACCCCTAGCAGCCCTTCGGAACTACCTCTTGTACTGATAGTCGCAACCATTGGATTGAGCAACCAGATGCTTGCAAACTTCAAGGCTCTTTCATCGCTCATCTTCTTGTACTCTTTCAAGATGCGGAACATCATCCATCCCGTAGCCACATCGCCGATCGCAAACAGGATCTTTCCAAAGGAGAACCAGAACCGTCCAGACCATACAGTAGGATATATGAGCCATGCAAGCAGAGGCGTATAACGATACGTGTCTCGTGCGTAAGGGGACTGGCCGCGCGAGATGTAGCGAGCAGCATCAGTGAAGACATAGTAATCGATGTCGGTATATTTCATAGGCGAATTAGCGTCCTGCCAGAGTCCGTATATCAGGAAAACGGCTCTTAGCACAACAGATGTTGTGAATACCAATGGTGGACTGCGGAAAAAGGAGGATAGAGCCATGCTTTCATTGGAGTAGTAAACACCCAGCACACTCAGAATACATGCGGAAACTGAGTGTATGAGATAGAAAGAGTCGCGAACGGATATGCTGAACGGTAAATCTGATGTTATTCGGGGCAATAGGGAGGGTCGGCTTCCTTAGAGAAAGGGCTGCCGAAACTGGCTAATCCGTAAACGAAATAGCGCCCACGTGAGGACGTGCACTAGCGGACAATCCCAGCGCCTGGCTGACATTATGTATATACTCACTATCAGCGCAGATCCATGGGCTTCAAACGATCAAGAGACGCAGAAATGGCGGACGAGAAGCCAGACCAAGCTTCGTCACCTTTCGTGGCGATGTTCGAAGGCTTCCGTGCAGAGCTAGACGAGCACCATGATCGACGAGAGAGAATCATCAAGGCGTCGCGTGACATCACCGCATCGAGCAAGAAGATGTATAGAACAATGATCGAAAGCTCTCTAGCAGAATACTAACAATACGGCAGTATCTTCACTCTCCAGAGGTAGGTCTTCGTAATGACCTCACCAAATAGATACTGACCTGACAAGGGTTCGCGCCGTCGGCCAAGCAGTACCACCATGGGTTACCAAGAAAAACGCAGAATACTGGGAGACGATTGAAGACCGATACAAGAACATTGCTGCCGATCTCCAAGGTCTCAATGCCTACCGCTACTCACACAACATCACGGGCGGCAACCAAGAGTTCATGGAAGCGCTCAGCTTTCAGCACTACCTGGAAACGCAATCACTCATTTCGTACGATGAAGCCAAGTCACGCATTGCTGCCATGAGTGGTGAAGCTGGACCAATCGCGTTCACGCCAGAAGACTACATTCTTGGTGTTTGCGACATGACTGGCGAGCTCATGCGCTTCTCCGTTACGAGCATGGCTACTAATGGCAAGCTACCATCTGGCCAACAAACAGAATCAAACAAAAGGCTCAAGCAAGACAACAGTCAGGATGACGCTGGCGACAAGATGGACATCGATGAGCAAGCACCAGCTGCAAGTGAGGCGCAGAAGCCACGGACTGTCTTAGACGACCTGAGGGCGATTCGACTGCAACTCGAGATGTTTGACGCACCAGGAGGATCCAAGTTTGCAGCAGAATTAGAGACAAAGAAGATGCCCGTGATGCGCGAGTGCGTAGACAAGGTAGAGAAAGGTCTATACGGTTTGACTGTGCGTGGCAACGAGCGCCCCAAGGGCTGGATGCCAGATATGAGCAGTGCCAGAGAGGTTGAGAGCTACTGAGTACCGGTAGATATCATCTTTCCAATGAAATGAAATGCAAGACTGGTTTGCCTGTTCAGATGGTGTGGCTGGGGGAGTGGCGCACCCCACTTGGCGTGAGCACCTCATCATCGTGCGGTGATGCGGGCCCGAACTTCACTTGCCCACCCTTGACAGTCACACCAACGACCATGGTCTTCTGCGCCATGCCCAAGACTGACTCACATGCACTCGCTTTCGCGCCGCCACCTACGAGCGCAAACATAATGCGCTCGCCTTGAAACACTGCGCCGACAGCTGTAAATTGACCTGGCGCCCAACCACAAACCCGCACTTGGGCCTGCTCAAGCCGGAAACTTGGTTCACAAAACCAACCTGTCTGCCCTCAACCGCGCACACCATAACCGATCGCTGCCACAACCCTCACTACCATCGCCTACAAGGCACATCAAAAACAAGCATGCGTCGCAGCACCATTCCGCCGCGGTCTAGCAAGCCCGAGGCCGCCGCCATGCGCGCACCCGAGCCACCAAAGCGCAAGGTATTCAACTGTATCGTCGATGATACCGCCTTGATCGCAGGTGTCAAGAAGAGTACCCGCGACGGCATCCGCAAGTGGATCGCCCAGGACGCCATACGCCTTTATGTACCGCTGCACAGTAGGCTATAGTATCGCAGCTTCCCAGCCTCCTCACTAACACCATGACAAGCCCTCACCCAGCTCCATCGCCTCACAAATGGCACCGAGCGCGTCAACGCTGATGCCCGCGAAGCCGTCAAATGGCTCGATGAAGTCACGTCCAACGAAGCCGCTAGCCGCGTTATCCTCGAGGGCGTGGATGAAGCGTATACTACATGGGCAGAGGTGGAGCACTTCCTGCTACCCGAGACATTGCTCTCCATGGAAGACAGCGAGTCTGACGAGGACGACTACCACGAAGACCTAGAGAGTTCTTTCAACGCCCTCGACATGTCCGACGGCACTTCCATCAGCTCCACACACAGCTTCGAGGACGCGTCCAAAACTCCTGAGTCGCCTCGTTCGCGTGCGAGCAAGGCATCTAAACTTGCCCATGGCGCCACACACGCCGACAAGCCAGCCACG